TTTACTATCTCTATGTCTTTCATTATGCCTACGATTCATCACCTGATGAAGTTTTGCCAAACACACATATTCTATCTGTGCCACCCCATGGTGTTCATGCATATTTTGGGCTCGGTACCGTTTGGGGTTGGGTCAAAGGCAAAGGAAGGCCACCCCTTGTTGGAGTGTACTGAAGTGCCCTTAAAAAATAAGCCACCCAATGCTTGCTATCTCTCTCTGTTATATATATATATATGTATTAAAGTGTGGCCTGATGAAGGTTTTCCGCCTCTATCTGTGCCGCCCCATGGTGTTATGTATAGCTTCGGCTCGGTATCGTTTGAAGGCCACGCTTTTGGACCCTCAAAGAAGAACCAAATCACTATTTACTATCTCTATATTTTTCATTATGCCTACGATTCATCACCTGATGAAGTTTTCCCAAAAACGAATATTCTAACTGTGCCACCCCATGGTGTTCATTTGTATTTTGGGCTCGGTACCGTTGTGGGTTGGGCTAAAGGGAAAGGAAGGCCACGCTTTTGGACCCTCAAAGAATAAGCAAAACAATATTTACTATCTCTATATCTTTCATTATGCCTACGATTCATCACCTGATGAAGTTTTGCCAAACACACATATTCTAACAGTGCCACCCCATGGTGTTCATGCATATTTTGGGCTCGGTACCGCTTGGGGTTGGGTCAAAGGGAAAGGAAGGCCACCCCTTGTTGGAGTGTACTGAAGTGCCCTTAAAAAATAAGCCATCCAATGCTTGCTATCTCTCTCTGTTATATATATATATATATTCAAGTGTGGCTTGATGAATCACTGATGAAGGTTTTCCGGCCCAAAAACACATATTCTATCTGTGCCTCCCCATGGTGTTTATGTATAGCTTCGGCTCGGAATCGTTTGGGGTTGGGCTAAAGGGAAAGGAAGGCCACGCTTTTGGACCCTCAAAGAATAACCAAATCAATATTTACTATCTCTATATCTTTCATTATGCCTACGATTCATCACCTGGTGAAGTGTTGCCAAAAACAATTACCATGGTGTTCATTTGTATTTTGGGCTCGGTACCGTTTGGGGTTGGGCTAAAGGGAAAGGAAGGCCACGCTTTTGGACCCTCAAAGAATAACCAAAACAATATTTACTATCTCTATATCTTTCATTATGCCTACGATTCATCACCTGATGAAGTTTTCCCAAAAACAAATGTTCTAACAGTGCCACCCCATGGTGTTCATGCATATTTTGGGCTCGCTACCGTTTGGGGTTGGGCTAAAGGGAAAGGAAGGCCACGCTTTTGGACCCTCAAAGAATAAGCAAAACAATATTTACTATCTCTATATCTTTCATTATGCCTACGATTCATCACCTGATGAAGTTTTGCCAAACACACATATTCTAACAGTGCCACCCCATGGTGTTCATTTGTATTTTGGGCTCGGTACCGTTTGGGGTTGGGCTAAAGGGAAAGGAAGGCCACCCCTTGTTGGAGTGTACTGAAGTGCCCTTAAAAAATAAGCCGTCCAATGCTTGCTATCTCTCTACATATTCTATCTGTGCCGCCCCATGGTGTTATGTATAGCTTCGGCTCGGTATCGTTTGAAGGCCACGCTTTTGGACCCTCAAAGAAGAACCAAATCACTATTTACTATCTCTATATTTTTCATTATGCCTACGATTCATCACCTGATGAAGTTTTCCCAAAAACAAATATTCTAACTGTGCCACCCCATGGTGTTCATTTGTATTTTGGGCTCGGTACCGTTGTGGGTTGGGCTAAAGGGAAAGGAAGGCCACGCTTTTGGACCCTCAAAGAATAAGCAAAACAATATTTACTATCTCTATATCTTTCATTATGCCTACGATTCATCACCTGATGAAGTTTTGCCAAACACACATATTCTAACAGTGCCACCCCATGGTGTTCATGCATATTTTGGGCTCGGTACCGTTTGGGGTTGGGTCAAAGGGAAAGGAAGGCCACCCCTTGTTGGAGTGTACTGAAGTGCCCTTAAAAAATAAGCCATCCAATGCTTGCTATCTCTCTCTGTTATATATATATATATATTCAAGTGTGGCCTGATGAAGGTTTTCCGGCCCAAAAACACATATTCTATCTGTGCCTCCCCATGGTGTTTATGTATAGCTTCGGCTCGGAATCGTTTGGGGTTGGGCTAAAGGGAAAGGAAGGCCACGCTTTTGGACCCTCAAAGAATAACCAAATCAATATTTACTATCTCTATATCTTTCATTATGCCTACGATTCATCACCTGGTGAAGTGTTGCCAAAAACAAGTACCATGGTGTTCATTTGTATTTTGGGCTCGGTACCGTTTGGGGTTGGGCTAAAGGGAAAGGAAGGCCACGCTTTTGGACCCTCAAAGAATAACCAAAACAATATTTACTATCTCTATATCTTTCATTATGCCTACGATTCATCACCTGATGAAGTTTTCCCAAAAACAAATGTTCTAACAGTGCCACCCCATGGTGTTCATGCATATTTTGGGCTCGCTACCGTTTGGGGTTGGGCTAAAGGGAAAGGAAGGCCACGCTTTTGGACCCTCAAAGAATAAGCAAAACAATATTTACTATCTCTATATCTTTCATGATGCCTACGATTCATCACCTGATGAAGTTTTGCCAAACACACATATTCTAACAGTGCCACCCCATGGTGTTCATTTGTATTTTGGGCTCGGTACCGTTTGGGGTTGGGCTAAAGGGAAAGGAAGGCCACCCCTTGTTGGAGTGTACTGAAGTGCCCTTAAAAAATAAGCCGTCCAATGCTTGCTATCTCTCTACATATTCTATCTGTGCCTCCCCATGGTGTTTATGTATAGCTTCGGCTCGGTATCGTTTGGGGTTGGGCTAGAGGGAAAGGAAGGCCACGCTTTTGGACCCTCAAAGAATAACCAAATCACTATTTACTATCTCTATATCTTTCATTATGCCTACGATTCATCACCTGATGAAGGTTTGCCAAGAACGAGTATTCTAACTGTGTGCCCCCATGGTGTTCATGCATATTTTGGGCTCGGTGCCGTTTGTGGTTGGGTTAAAGGGAAAGGAAGGCCACCCCTTGTTGGAATATACTGGGGTACCCTCAAAAATAAGCAATCCAATATTTTCTATCTCTATATTTAGTATTTTATGCATACGATGAATCACCTGATGAAGGTTTGCAAAAGCAAGTATTCTATGTGCCCCCCCCCCCCAAAAGGTGTTCATGAATATTTTGGGCTCGGTACCGTTTGAGTCTCTGGAGAATTTGCTGTATATGAAATATTCTATCTGTTTGTGGGAGAGGGGCATGGCCCGTCGGGCTGAGCATTTGAGCTCCGAAAAAGTAAATGCGTGTGTCTTTCTTAGGGGGACCCCTCAAAACGGTTGGTTTCCGTTTGGTTTTGCACATACCCTTGAAAGAGAGACGGACCCAAATGGAAAATCATGGGACCCACATGGTTTGCTGAAAGCCGTATATATATATATATAAACATCTAGCAACGGGCTAGCAGCTAGGACATTTATCGCAGAGTAGTTGTTCATAGCAGAAACCCCTATTTTGAAATATTCTATCTGTTGTTTTCTTATTTTGAAATATTCTATCTGTTGTCTTCTTTTTTGTTGAAATATTCTATCTTCGTTTTTTTATTCTAACTGACTTTTTCCTATTTATTCTAACTCATTTTTTGATAGACTTTTGAAATGTGCATTTTCATTTACTCTAAAAAATATATTCTAACTGCTAGCCCGATACTATAGTATTCCCGGACCTGGCTTTTTGGGGCATTTGAACACATGTGTGTATTATTACGGAGGCCTTTAATTGTAAACGCTTCGCGTTGCCCGCCTCGGTCAGAGCCGCAGGGAGCTACAGAACGGTGGGCCAAGCGAAGGTGCAAATTTCTAGGGAAATTGATTGGTTCCTAGCGGGTAATTTTGCCGGTGTTTGGAGAGAGTTGACCGGTTTCGGAGGGGATTTGAGAGGTTTCTAGCGGGGAGTTCGACCAGTTTTTAGGGGGGAGTTGGGCACTTTCTAGAGGGGAATTTGACTGGCGGATTTGACCACCAGCTTTGAGAGGGGGAATTTGAACGGTTTCTAGCCGGCATTGACCTGGAGTTGGACCGGTCTTTAGGCCGAGTGCTTCCAGGCTTGCTTCAGGCTGCCTGGAGGCAGCTGGAGCAGGGATTGTGAATTCTCAGATTTGCTTGAGCTTTTGACAGAGAGTCATATCTGAAGGTTTGCTCAATATGGACCAATAGCGTTGTTTGTTGGTGCAGAGGGTGCGCTCAGTGCGTTTGCCGGGTTTTGAAGTCACGTGCTTCATGTCACGAGAGCTGTGCCAAGGACGGACACTGGGCGTGACTGCAATGTCTTCATGTCACGAGAGCTGTGCCAAAGACGGACACTTCGAACACCGTGAAGTGCCTGCAAAATGGGCGTGACTGCAATCAAAATCGGTGCTATTTGAGACCCAGGTTTTTTGTTCGCCATGGGGAGTCAGTCCAAGAGGCTCTTTGGCTTTGGCAATTGAGGAGTCTGCCCATCTTGGCGAGCAGGGGTAGTATTGCAGGGATATATCGGCAGCATATCCCACTGCACCGAAGTGGCCAGGCACTTATCGCTCCAAGAGCTTCCCAAACTGCTAGATGATTTACGCAGATTCAACGTGATATAGGTAAACACGCAAAGCCGTTCTTGGTGGAGACAGGCCAGTGAGTAAGGATAACGAAGAACCTGGCCGGCATATTGATTCACTGCTTCAGAAACACCTCACAGCAAGAGGCATGGGTTGCTGTTGATGCCGCGGTTGAAGAACAAGGTTAGCTCTCAACAATCCAGCGGGTTATGTTTTTGCATATTGGCCTGGGAGAAGAAGCGGTTATACATTGGCTGTTTGGGCTGCCCGCCAAGGGCCATCTTATCACAATGGGGAGCTTTGATTACCGGCAACAGCGGCAACTCTGCTTGTGGCTTGGGACCTCGCAGTCGCATACCCACGCAGGTTTCTTTGTGTCAGCTATGGCGTGCCGGCCACCAGGCAAGCCTGAGATTGTGAGATTTCTCGCGGAGGGCTTGGGGTGGGAAATGCAATGCCCCAAAAGTTCATAGTTCTCCAGGCAGCCCATTCAGTCTCAAAGTTGCTGACACCTGTGACCCTGTGAGACGGCAAGGTCATATTAGGGTTTCAAAAGGGAGCGAAGGATGGGCCCAGCGTTTGATCGGCGCAAGCGCTTGCGCCAGGGTGGATTACTTCAAGGGGAAGGGCTTGAACTTGGCGATCAAGCAGGTGAGCTAGCCAGTTGAGTCGAGCGAGAAGCATTCCCTCACCTTGGCGGGAGGCGTTGGCTCCATTAGATGGAGTGCGTCAGTGTTTGCCTGAATGTTGCTCACATGGCTTGGCAAGTTTGCACTCATTGCTTGAAGCAGGTTCAGGGAGTATTTGGTTAGGGCCCGTCGGAACCGATTGCTTGATTCATGTTCTGACACATTGGCTTTCAATGTTTCCCTGTTCCTTTTGTCAAAGGCTGCACACTAAGTACGGTACTATCATGGAAGAACTCGCAAGGCCTGAATTGCGACTGCCAGCTCGTTTTTTCATTGCGAGTTAGGTCAGGGCCGAGCTCGGATGTCGCTGCTGGTTGATTTAGTAAGAGAGGGGGACCCCCTCAGCGTTGGTATTTTCCAGGGTCCCTTTCTGGTTAGTAAAGGGCTCAGGGAATTGCAAGTTACCATGCCTGTTACGTTTGAGGGCATGCACTGCAAAGTACTTCTACTACTGCTGCTGCTAGTACTCCTACTTCTGCTACTCCTACTACCACCACCACCACCACTACTACTGCTGCTACTACTACTACTACTACTACTACTACTACTACTACTACAACTACTATCTACTACTGCTGAAGGTACTGCTACAGCTACTGCTGCTGCTGCTGCTGCTGCTCCGGCGTGTGAGGTGCCTAATTTCCCCTATATGGCTTCGCGACCACCAATTGTGTTTTCGTGTGGGGGAACCCGGGCTTTACGGTTGACTTTGATTCCAGAAGTTGGAGCGCAAACTACTTGTTTCTGGACATTCGAGTAGCATGTTAGAGCAAATGGAAAGCATTGCGCGGTCAGACTGCTTTGCTTAGGTTGGAAGGCTTTAGTTGATGTTGGGGTTGGCATTTCATGGTGAGACTTGCTGCTGCAACAGTACTACGTACTACGCGGGAATGGCGGGTTGCTGACTCCCGGCTCAAACCAGGCTGGCCCAGTCTCGCCAGGTCCCCATCCCGGTGAAGATCCCAGGCACGGGGAGAGTGGCCGACCAGCCCCTGAAAGATCCTTCAGACTTCTTGGGGGATTTGTGCATGGCATGAGGCCCAACGGCAAGGCAACAGTCCCCACCAGATGGCATTGCTGTTTGGAAATCATCGCAGAGACTGATCTCAAATCCAAACTTTCGCGCCTTTGGAAATTTCTGGGAAGACTACTTTCAAGGGGTCCAACAACAGTTTTTGGATATCACAGCCAACCAGCGCCTTTGTCAGCCCGGCAGAGGCTCCAGACCCATTTGCTTTCCAGGTGGCAGCGTGCACTATGCCTACCTCTTGCGCAAGGCCTGACGGTGGGCATTGTGGGCTGCCCATCAGACACCTAGTTGCAACATGGTCCAGGGGCACTTTAACTTAGGGTCGTGGTGGTTAGCCTCAACCATTGGATCTAACATTTGATTGTCAGGGTATCATGTCGCTGCTTTCTCATCCGAATGCTTGACTCGTTTCGGTCCTGCGCGCTTGTGTGGGTCCGGTGTTTTGCTGTGGGCTTCTTGTGGTAGTGTGTGTGGAAGCTCACCCCCAAAAACAAAGCTCTTCCGTGAGCTTCGCCAGAATTAAGCGCAACCTGACAATTTGATGAGGGCCAAGATGTGCGAGCAGGACCACAGGCATAGACTCACTTGAAAGGATCCAAGATGCGAATCAGATGGGATCAACATGATGAAAACAAGAACACGATACAGCCAAATGAGATGGCCATGTCAAACCTCAGGCCCCCAACCCCTGCCAGACCTCAGGGGGTGACAGCAAGGAGGGGCGCTCAGATGCTGGGGGCGGGGGCGGGGCATGGCTGCTTTGCTCTGAGTAGTTAGACTGGGATGGGTGTGCTACTAAGCCAACTCACCACTTCGTGCAATGATTTAACCCCTAAAGCACGGAGCAGCTCAACTAAGGCAACGGCCCTGCTGCTCCGGAACCCTTACTCAATAATATTTCGATTGTCGGAGTTCTCTTTCAGGTCAACCAACTCAAAGCGGGGCCGTACATTTACATGTTTAGCGTCACAAAACAAATAAATTCATACATACATACATATATACATACATGCATATATTATATATATACATATTTGAACCATGTAGGCCTATATAGTGTCATTTCTAGTTGCGGCAGACCCTCAACATGGTGGCGCGAAGTAGACTTGAAGTGCGCATAAAGTTCTGCAAAATGGACTGCCCGCCAGTGCCAATGAACCAGGGGTTGGCCAACGGGATTCTCTCGCTGCAATCCCAAAACAAGATGCCTCTAAACTGGATTTGGGTTTCCATTTTGGCACATACCCGCGCTCAGGTCATAAGTAGTCGGAGTGACGGCCTGACGGCCTGGTGCCCAATGGCCGGCGCTGACACGTTGAAACGGTTTGGCTCGTTGAAAGGGTTTGGTCTAAATGAACACGAAGACTCCGAGTCACAAGATGACCATGATAGCAAGTTAGTTTGGCTTCCTCTAATTTAGCTTTGGACTTGATTTCTACGCTCTTTGGAGCAACCCTGAAGGGCTCAGTGCTCCAGTTGAGGGGTTTGGGATGAGGAAATCAGCTAATCCACTTGGATGGTTTTGAGGGGAAACAAGTGAACTCTCGCCAGCAGGAGTCCCTGATTAAATTTGCACGTCGATTGTTCTTCATGGAGCATATCTTGGATGGCGTTCAATCCAGCAAGCCCAGACAACCAACACCACAGTGAGTCCTTCTCACATATTGACAGCTAGAGCTTCACCCAAAGGACGGACCGCTAGCATGACGGCGCCAAGCTGGCCCAGCAAAACTAAAATGTGATTAGGTGTGCAGAGCGTCCTGTTGCTGACTTTCATGTGGCAACTTCATTGCTTTGCCCAGTCCAAGGCATCCAGCCTCACTGCAACTTGGAGGGAGTGCAAGCCTGATTCCGCCTGAGCACGGATGCGGGCATGTTTGACAATAACGTGACGCTTGTGTTGACAAGTAAAAGATGTGTCCACAGTCCGAGAGGTTAACTGAACATCCTGTTGCTTACACGTCTTGGACATCCGTTTGCCAGCTGGAAATCGGAGTTGCAAGGTGCAAGAGAAGATGACTACGCCCAGAAACTGCCAGCTGCCCTCAAAAGACCGCTAGCACGAGAGAAAAGAGCGCAGCTGCTATGGGAGGCTCTGGGGTCTGGGGTCCTCCCGGCGCCGACCTAAATCCTGGCAGGTTCGACGCAACATCCCCACTTGCTTGAAGTTTGGGGAGGATTCCTGATGTCCCTCCACGATTCCGTGTTCCTGGGGCAGACTCGCAAACGGGGTCCCTTCCGAGCGGGGGCATTGCCGAGCTCATTGTTCACTAGGGGCAATGAATGTGAGCTTTCTTCACGTGAAACCATAGCCCTAGAAGAACTAGCAGGTATTTGAACAGGTCAAATCTGAATCTCATGTTCTGAACATCTCAGCATCCAGTTTCGCTCATACCGAGCTGGGCTCAAGCTCCGCCCAGCTCCCACTGCTTGCAGCGCAAGGGTAGGCCGCGTTGTCGGGTGCCGCGCTGTCATGGAGCTGGCGCCACGACTGAGCTAACCTTTTTCCGGACAGTGGGACAAACTGATGCCCTTGCCTTCTAAAGAGGGGGAATCCGGCCCTTTGTCAAGGACCAAGAAGACGATGCCAATTCCTTCATTCCCCCATGGAATTTCACTGGGTGGATGCCTAACTTTTGCTCTGCTGGTGTCCCCTCTCCCAACCAGCAAAAGTAAGCTTGTTACAAAGGCTTACCTGTTGAGTGAGCACAGTTTTAGCTTTTGCTTGGTAGGTCCTTTCAACCTTTGGCTGGTCAGCTCAGCAGGTCCGAGGTCCGTCTCCAGAATTTGTCTTTGAGATGGCACCTAAAAAAATGAAGAATCTGAAAAACTAGTAAGTTGTTCTGTGTACCCTACAGTTGGGCCAAGTCTAAGTCTGAGGTGAGCAGCCTTTGGAGCTGGACGGCGTCCTGCACCTGCACGAACCCCTCCCAGGACCGATGTTTGCACAGGTACTGAAATAGGACCCCCCTCCCGTGGGATGGTGTTGAAGAATTGGGTGCCTCAAAATAGGGGGATCCCCGAAATGGGTAAGTCCTTTTGGTTTCCCTTTCAGACCAGCCCAAAAGAGGTTCCCAAAGACGGACCCATCAGGGAAACCGAGAATGGAATACTGTGTATTTGATTTGGTTAGATGCTGGTCAAAAGAATGTGAAGCAAGCTTACTATTCTTGTTTTATTGGACAAGCGTGGCGCGTTATGTGGTTGCTTGCTTTTTGCTTGCTTTGAGAGAGAATGACATTCAGCCTGTAAGCGGATGTGGGTTGACATGTACTACTCCCACCCTGACAGCTGTAGCTGACCAATGATTCGCCTGTGACCCGCCTGAAACCTTTACTGGACCCTAACTTGCAGGAGAATATGCAGTTGGCTGACCGCTGGCGTTTAGCCAGCACGGTTAGAATTCCAAATTGCAAGAGCTTTGTGGGAATGGGAGCCATCATCGCGCGCTTGCTGTAGCAGGGCTCCCTGCGCCTTGCTTTGCTGCAATGGCCAAGGCAAATAGGCGAGCAGATTTCATACAACACTTTTTCGGTTTCTATTGTTTGAAGGGACTCCACCAAAAAGGATCCATCATTTCTCCAAAGGGGGGCACGTGCGAATCGCAGCGGAATCTTTAAGCCGTTTCTGTGACCCGAGTCATTTCCACTAGAGGTGGTCCACACGCCTGCCCGAAACTGGCAGCCTGTTTCGCGGCAGGATGGGTAGAGCTTTCCGTTTGGTCGTCCTTCCCAACCCCCAAACGGGGTCCAATTCGATTCCACCAATCCGGCCTACGGATTCCACTTTCAAGGGAATCCGAAAACGGACGCCTTAGCATGCCGTGGGGTACTATGAAAGCCAAATTGTCTCATGATATCTCATGATCATGGGCATGTTTATGATCGCTAGGCCACTTAGGCCCTTCATTGCATCAGTTGATCCGACTCTGTTTGAGACCGGCCAGGATTCCAATGAGGTGACACTGTCAGACGGAGCGGATATTTCCGTCATACAAGTGGAGCCCGACTGCCTCGTGCACAAGGCACTGGTCACGTTTGTGGGATTCTCCGTGCATCGATTGAATCGCAGGGTTACTAAGTCTGACTTGTTGAGAGAGTCTACTTCGAATGATGCTGAAGCCTAGCGTCTTATCGTTTGGTACAAGCCTCCTGGGTGTTTTGGAGCTAATATGAGGCCCAGCTGAAGGCATTGCGGCTTGCCCAAGGATGTGTGTGTGTGTGTGTTCCTTGGTTTCCCTGTTGATTCGCCATAATCTGCGTCCCGCATGGCAGGAGAAGATACTGGGACTGTTCCAGGAGAAGCCGTTCCTCAAGAGCAAGGACGGCCGCTGAGTTGACAAGCCGTTGAGTTGCTGAGTTTCCATGCCCGCAGGACCGCATGTCGATTTTGTGCTAGTACCCAGGATCCAGGGTCAAGACACCTTGCTTTAGTGGGGCTGGAATCGCTTGAAACGATTCGTGGCCAAGGGCAACCCTTCGAAGCGAGATGAAAGTCCTGGTTGAACCATCGAAGGGTATGAGAGTAAGGGGCGGGTCGCCCATTTTTAACATGGGCAGAACCACTACCTCGCGTTCTTCGTGGATGAGTGCTGCAAAGCCATCGCCTCCGGCCGAAGTGACGAGGCAAGTGCAGAGATGGAGGGGGTGTGCCCCTCACTCCCCCGGTTGTTGGACTTGAGACTTTTGGGATCAGTGGACTTTGGACTTGGTTTCTTGTTTGGTGATGTTTGGTGGGAAGCAATCAGTTGACCGAGCCGGGAGAAGACGAAAACGCTGATGGGTGGAAGCGTGGCTTTCCTGCTGTTTCTCAATACAATTTCCACCCTTGGAGCTGCCACTATCACCTGGGTAAGTTAAGCCATTGGTGACGTGACCTAATCCCAATGTTGGTCCGGGGAGGGATGATATGTAGAGCAAAGGGCGGACAAGCCCATTCAAATCGATAGCTTTGCAGGCTCAGAATGGCCTGGACATCCTGCAGATGCAATTAGACAATGAGGAGAAGATGATTGCCGCAGCTTTCAACAAGCGCCTTTGCCAGAATTCATCGCAGTTGCCAGTTCGGGGCACGAGCTCTTTGTCCTCACAGAGAGTTCGGGCTCCGGACTTGTCTAGGTTGTGTTTGGAGTGTCTCAAAAGTGGATCCCCTCATGAAAAAAAGCAAAGGACGACGCCCAACAGAACTCCTTGAAACCCGGGCAAAGCCATTTGGGGCTCCTCTAGACTCCAGTATGGCACGCGGTTCCTTTCAGGGGCAGGAAAAGGGACGGTTCCTTCAAGGCAGGCCACTTTTTGCCTCGAAATAATGCAAAAGGACACCCCCCGCCTGCCTTCGCAAACGTGTTGCGCATCTCTCGACCCGGAATGGAACCCCTCATGGGATCTAGACTGAGCATAATTGTTGATGCCCGTACAGGTGGTGAGCGTTTGCAGGAAGAACACACCAGGAAAGTAGATGGCACAATCCCCGCTTCATCCACCGGGGATGATTCATAAAAGCCAAAATGGGCTTTGAATTCGCCATCTTCTTTCACCCCAATCGAAAGTTTCAACCTTAAGCTGAGGGATGCCAAGAAATGCTCCCTGCAGAAGCTTGAGGTTTGACACCGACAAGAGCGGCAAGCTGATTGGCGATGAGGCAGGGCTGCGAGCCGGTTGATCGAGGCCCGAGTTGAAGCGAAGCAGTCCGGGGCCAAAAATGCTTCCATTTGGCCAAGCGGGTTCCTAAGCTTTCCCTTCACCAGGCCAATCGTGGCCCTTAAAGAGGGTGGGCCAGGCGCGGCCCACAGTCTCGCAGCTACCCGCAAGCGTTTGATTTTGGGTCTTCACCAAAAGGCGAGAGGGGCCGAATCAGATCCAGTGAGAAAGGGCCAGCAAACGCGCGGCTATGGGGCTATGGCCTTAGCCCCGATGAGCTTAAGAATATGGGGGCTCGCGTGCCTGAGGCGAGTTTTCCACGCAGGTTGTCAAGTGAAGGCCCCCGACAATGTTGTACCATGTGCTGCCTGTATTGAAAGGATTGTCCCAGAAAAGGCAATTGTGTCAATGAATGTCAATGACTGCCTGCACCCATTTCTATTCACTCATTTGGCGATCCTTCCCTTACTAACATAGCATTTGTGTGAGGGCACCTGGAAAACCAATTTCCTCTTTACCTCCTGTCAGGGCCCAACACTGAGGAGGGAGCTGTTCGCAGAAGGTTGTGCAAGTGTGCCTTCACCAGGGAGGGTGCCCTGCACCCCTCTGAAGGGAAAACATGGCTTTGGTATGGGCTTTTGAGGTAAGGAGCTTACAGAGGCATATACTCGAAGCACTTCAACAGGCAAATATTCATACCATGCAAATCTTACATACCATAATCTTCGTCCACATTGAAGGCTCCACACGGCTGAAAGCTCCAACTTGAGCGGGCAATAAGTCCTGAGATCCGTTTTGAGGTCCAAGGAGTTGTTTGGTTTCAGCGGCTATGGGTTGTTAGGGCCAAACACGGCCAAACAAGGTTGTTCAAAGAGTGGAGTGGGCCAGGTTTGCGGGCCCAAGCCGTCATTCAGATCGGAAGCCTTTTTGCCGACGACCTTTCATTTTCCCCACCCATGCACAGGCTCTCGAGCGGTCTTGCTCAATATGGTCTTCAGCTCGATTCTGCCATTCACACAATCCCAGTGAAATGTTGGGGGCATGCCCGAACACACCCGGGATACAGCTGCGCAATTCAAATGCCGCCTGTGTGCACACACACAAAAAAACATCAGCACCAGATTCACCGTGTTCGTGTGCAAAATTCCGGCTACAGGTGCAGTTCATGCTGGACTACCTGGGCTTTCCAGATTCCAAAGAGGATGTGAAGAATCTGGTGCAAATTGTGGACTGGGCTGGGCCGTGCAGATCGCAAATCGGCAAACAGCAAAGGTTGGTGCAGAAGCACATGTTGGCAAGGGAGATGTCCAAGCCCTGCTTTCAGATGCTACGCTGCCCGTGGCTTTTTTTTCCTTCCACCATGTGGAGTTGAACTCCCCCTCCATTTGTGGCGGACCTGGCGGGGCGTGTTTAATCGTTTAGCCTGTTGGACAGTTATTGCTTCACTTTTTGAACGGGCCCAACCCAGGCTAGAGTCTGGCAAGAGGGACATGTGTGAACTGATCCGAAGGGGAGTCTGAAGAATCCGGAATGACGATCAGTGCTTCCTACCTTGGGCCCAAGAGTTGTGTCACGGATGCCTTCGCGGCGGGTTTGCTGACCTTTCAGCTCGCCTTGGCCTGTAAAAGCAAGCAACTAAGCGGCCCGGTGAATAGGCACGTGTTTCCCCTGGGCCCGAAGGTGATGCTCCCTTTCTATTATCAATGAACCACAGGGTTGTCAATCCTAGATTCCGTTCGGACCTAATGTTGCGATAGGTTTGAACTTGGTGGGGATCCGCAGGACAGTGACGGCGACGGGTCGGTGTCCTTTGACGAGTTTCTGCACTACGTTGGCAAATTAGGTGGCTGTCCAAGCAATTCGTGAGCAGTGCCGTTCAGTGCCTGGATCTTGCTTGCAACCAACAAAACAGGACAGTGGCGCTGTACATAAACACATCAGCGGCTGCATGTTTGACTTTGGAGGGCCATTTCTTTTTGGGATTTGTGTTTTCATGTTTTTTTTGTGTTCAGGGTGAGTGGCTGTTGGGCTTTTGTGGCTTTTGTGGCTTTTCATTTCGCATCCTCTGCATTCACACCTCCTCTCTGTTTGTCTTTGTGGGTTCATGCGGCTTTTGCGGCTTTGGCTTTTCGCATCCTTTGCATTGCCAGTTTGGCTGCGGCAGATGACTTTTTGGCCTTTTTGGCCTTTTTGGCTTTGTTGCATTTGGTTTCTGGCTTTGGCTTTTAGCATCCTCTGCTTTCCCAGGGTGCCCCCCGCCACCCCCCTTTCGATTAAAATGCGCGATCATCATGCGACAGCTACTTTTTAGACTCTTTGCCCCTAATCGAATCATCACTTTTTCGATCAGCATGGAGGGCCCCCCCGCTGCTTTTTAGCCTTTTGGCCCTAATTGAACCATCACTTTTTTGATCATCACGGGGGGCCCCCCCAACCTTCCCCTCCTTTAATTGAATCATCACTTTTTTGATCATCATGGGGGGCTGCCCCCGCTTCTCTTTAGACTTTTTTGCCTTAATTGAATCATCACTTTTTCGATCATCAGGGGGGGGCTGCCGCCCCCCCCCCAACCCCCCCCCGCTCCTTTAATTGAATCATCACATTTTCAATCATCATGGGGGGGGCTGCCGCCCGCCCAACCCCCCCGCTACGTTTCGCACCGGCATTTGAATCCTGACTTTTACCAGCATGAGGGGGACCCGCCCCTCTGTGTAACATGCATACATAAATGCCGACCTACCTTGCCGGAGAGGAACTGATGATGCTGAAGATGTAGGAAGCCAAGGCCCTCGATGTGCTGGTGATGCTGGGCATGTTGGCTGGACATGCGGGGGGCGCTGAAAACGATGCTGATGATGTTGACGGACTAGCGTAAAGTACGTACATTTCGTGAGCACATGCTGTGAAATACAGCGTTTTACTTGCCAGGACGGAAAACACCCCCCCCCCCAAAAAAAAAGTTAAATCTCGACCTTTTGACTTTTTTCGGGGGCTCTCTTGAAAGGGGGCGGGAATGATGTTGCTGCAATTGCCAGAATCCTGCCCCGTCCACGTGGGGCGCAGTTGGTCACAGGTGAAACTTGGCTGGATCACTCAGCGAAACTTGGCTGGATCACTCAGCGCAGTTGCTGGATGTGCTCCAGATTGCACGAAACTTTGGCTTCTTGACCTTTTCTCGGGACCGCGGTTTTGTTGCTGGGGGAAGAGGCTTGTGGTACCGCCAGCTGTCGACGCAGCAGAGCAGGCCTGTGCCCAGCAACAAGTTGCCTCGCTTGTCGTGCCTGCTTGGCTTTTCTTTTGGCTGGATCCCCTTTGGTGTTTTCAACCGTGTTGATGCACATCGACGGGAGGGTTGCCCGGCCTGCGGCAGTCCGTCGCATGACTAGGCGAGGCGCGTTGGTCAAAAGGGTGCTACTTCTAACCTGACTGCGCCGCGCGCCGGCCTTCGCTCTGGCGGGTGTTGGCGCAAGCGGAGGGCCTTCTCCTATGGGCCGGCCCACTTGGGTAACCCGCAAAGGGTTGTTTATTAAACAGAGCCTAACAGAGCACGCGTTCCTCGTCGTAACAGCCGCCAGTTCTCGTTGGAAGGTTGAGGACCTAGATGGGAATGAATCAAAATTTGGGAGCGCTCCGGGCCAATCGATCCAATGGGAAGTGTGCTGCTGCCCTCCGTCAGAGCACAGACTGCCATAGAGTCTGTATCTTGCCGGCCCGTTTTGGGGGGTGTCTTTGAAAACTGATTCTGGGAAATTCCAATCGGGGCTATAAAACTCTCGATATCCATGAAGGTCCCTCACTGATTCCAAATTTCCTGATGTGCAAAATTGTACGCACATGCGCACATATACACAAGCTTGCTTCTATACACATACACACACATATATATATATATAAATATAAATATAATATAAATAAATATACATACATACCCTGCTGTGCGTAGGCACATATAATTGCGGGAGGCTGTGTTAATGTAGACACATATTGTTGCATGCACATTTTATTCCCCACATGGTACGCCGATCTCGGCCATCGCCCGGCTGTGTCCGACCGGTCCGCGAAGCAAAGGTGGCAGCGCTAAACTATTTGAAGTCCGGCGGCAACAGATCCGGGACCCAGGGATGGCGGGACGGACCACGCTTTCCGTTTAAAAATGGTTGCAATTCGATTTGCTGAAGCATATCATAGTTTTCCCTCTTGGCTTTTACACGTCAACTATCACTTTCCAGGGTACTTCAGCAGATGGAAGTAAACGGCGCGTCTTTCAACCAGGGTTGCCACGGTTGCCACTCATGGTCAGAACTCGCCGTGGGGCCTTGAACAAATCACGAGGCTGAGGTTAAGCCCTTGCAGAAAAGAGTGACTGGGCCAAAGGCTGATAGTGCGATCAAAAGTGCGCATCGGACATGTCAAACATGCGACATGATCAAGTGGCCGTAAGAAGTCCTTCGCTAGTGCATGGCATCCAAATCGCGGTGATCTGCTTGCCGAGGCCTCTAGGTTCCAAACAAAAAAATGAACTTTCGTGGGACTTGGTTGTTTCACGCTCTGGGTTGTTTGGCTTGCAGTGCTGCCAACTTGAAGGCCAACGCCAGCCAGGGACCCAAATACTTTGCCCGAGATGGCAGCAGGAATAGCGGAACAGCAGAGCAGCAGTCAGCCAAGAGCAGAAGAGCAGCAGTTGCAGTATGAAGCGATAAAGCGGCCGGCCGCGAAGCCCAAGAAGAAACTCGCTTCGAGGACTGCTGGGCTCAAACTGCAAAAGCCGAATCCTTCTCAGGAATGTCCTTGTCTCCTTCTCGGCCTTTTGTTGATCAAGCAAATGTTCTACGCTTCGGATGGGGAGCCAGAAGCAAGATCTGTTTCAAATCTTGCAAAAAGCCGGAGCAATACCTCGCCTCATGTGAGCATTGGTGAGCTGCCGCTGTAACCGGAAGGATTACTTCCAGCAATTCGCTGGGCAGAAGGCCCAAGTAACCCAAAAACGTGAAGATTGGGGCAAGATCAACTCAGAGGACAAAGTTTCTTAACTGCACACAGTCTGACTGTCAGTTGTCGGCGGTGTTTGTTTGCTGGATGGCAGCAAGTACGGGCTCTTGCGGTTTCCCTTACTTAGGGTATAGGTATAGCCCTTTTGGTGAAAGCAGGTGCCCTAAACCTTACTTTTTGTGGAAAATGATGCCCTAAGACCAAGGAGCCCGTGGCGCGGGCAATGTTCAACTGCGACCAGCAGTATGACCCTGCGAGCCAACCCCAGCAACTGATGGCGCCTGAAGATGGCGCCGATTCAGACTTATTTCTCGCCTCTGATATTTAACCTGAACGTTCCAGCCTGTTTGGCACACGTGTGCCAGACACGGCGGCCGTCAAACCCCACCTCTCGACAATCCTGTTTGTGTATCGGCGCTACAGGCCCTAGGTGGGGAGCAGCACTCTCCAAAGAACTCGCTCTGGGGAGCGTGATGCACGAACCACAGGCGGGAGAAGGCGCCGAAGCACCCAACCTTTGGTCTCAGACTGGAAAACAATGTGTTTGCCAAATGGGTTTGAGTTGTCGTGTTTCTCTGGGAGACCTACCTGTCCTGCCCTGAATTGATGCCTACAGACTTCAAGCTGCCCAATGAGTGATACGTGGTGTCCCAGCGCTGGACCCTTCTTGGTGGGAAGGGCTGGCTACTTTTTGTTTTGCAAACCCTGCGCTTTCTCGGCGCCAGGAGAAATTGCACCTGCAGGCGGAGGATTTCCTCCGGTATTCTCTGGAAGCCTTGAACAACAGCCAGCAGGGCAAGTTGGCAGGAAACGCGCGGCGCCCCTCAGTTGTGCAACATGGAACTTTATTTTCTTTGATTGCTTCGTTGTTCAGTTCTTGTTTCTGTGCGGCAGCAGTCTTGACTGTTGTGGCATGCCGAAAGCCTACTGTCTGGTCATCCCGCGATGCGCACAGAAAACAACCATGTATTCAGAGCCCGTAGAAGGCTCGCCTGAAATGCGGGCGGACTAGGACCATAGGCTGTTTAGCAAAAGGAATCTGTCCAATTGGTGCAAGTTGCGGTGAGGGAAAAAGTCTGCGACCCTTCCATGTTCTGTCCGCTTGTTGCAACGTCTGCTTACTTTCCCACGTTCTGACATCGAATCTTGAGATTTGCGAGAAGCGGGGGTAAATGCGGGTGCCAGCAGGGCCGTTTGCAACAACCTGGATGATGCTTGCCCTTTGACCAGGGCCATGGAATCTTGCGTGGAAAGCGCGCATTCATTGAGGCATGCTTCTGGAACGTCTCTCCCGCCTAATGCTCAGCCTTTGCCGGAATTGTCTTTGAACGCTGCGGGAACTCTGTACCTTTAGGGCCATGCCTTACGGGGGGACATTGAAAGACATAGCTCACCGTGCTTGGCGTGCTGATTCCACAGATCGACTTTTGGAAGGGTCCTGGGACATGGTAGCACCAGGTCTCTTAAATGACGGTTCCTCAGCAGCTACACTACAAGAGAAGTTCTGCAGTCTAGAGGTGGCCCTTCCACAAACCCTTCAGTGTTTCGATTGGTTTTACACTCTTTGCCTGCTAGGCTTGGACCCCGGAGCCAGGCTCAACCTTTAAAAAGCTATATCTTGGTCACCCGCCTCCGGGAACACAAAAAACACGCTTGGGTGGCACCAAACGCCCAATTCCTCGGCGAAACTTGATGGGTGAGTAAAACCGAAGTTTGGCTGAGGACCTCGCAGAGGTCCTCGGCGAAACCCCACCCCACGGGGTGCCAAAAAGCACTTTCCTTAAAATAACGAAAAACTTGGATAGCAACACGCGGCTTCTTGGGGGGCTGGTGGGGGGGGGTTGGCTGAGGACCTCGCAGAGGTCCTCGGCGAAACTCTGAAGCCAAGAGAATTGAGTTTCGCTGAGTTTTTGGGCTCCCGGCAAATTCTTTATGGTTTCGATCTTGCTCAACTTGAACGATTATTCATCTTTAGCAACCTGGTATTTTTCTATTTTTGAAAGATTTCCAGACCCTTCCTGAAACCAGGCAGCGCAGAACCATTTAGCGTAGCTGCTGAGGAACCGTCATCTAAGAGACCTGGTGCTACCATGTCCCAGGACCCTTCCAAAAGTCGATCTGTGGAATCAGCAAGCCAAGCACGGTGAGCTATGTCTTTTCTAAAATAATTACAGAGTTCCCTCAGCGTTCAAAGACAATTCCGGCAAAGGCTGAGCTTCCACGCAAGATTCCATGCATCCCCCTCCGATGTGATAGCTTTCGCTTGGGAGGCAATTCCTCCGCTTCTCGCAATATTCTTGGGGGTCATGGTGTTTCTCCTGGGCCCTTGAACCAAATCTCAAGATTCAATGTCAGAATGTGGGGAAGTAAGCAGACGTTGCAACAAGCGGACAGAACATGGACATGGAAGGGTCGCAGGCTGTTTCCTTCACCGCAGCTTGCCAAATTGGACAGATTCCTTTTGCTACACAGCCTATGGTCCTAGTCCGCCCGCATTTCAGGTGAGCCTTCTACGGGCTCTGAATAAATGGTGGTTTTCTGTGCGCATCGCGGGATGACCAGACAGTAGGCTTTCGGCATGCCACAACAGTCAAAGCTGCTGCCGCACAGAAACAAGAACTGAACAACGAAGCAATCAAAGAAAATAAAGTTCCATGTTGCACAACTGAGGGGCGCCGCGTGTTTCCTGCCAACTTGCTCTGCTGGCTGTGGTTCAAGGCTTCCAGAGAATACCGGAGGAAATCCTCCGCCTGCGGGCGCAATTTCTCCTGGCGCCGAGAAAGCGCAGGGTTTGCAAAACAAAAAGTAGCCAGCCCTTCCCACCAAGAAGGGTCCAGCGTTGGGACACCACGTATCGCCCATTGGGCAGCTTGAAGTCTGTAGGCATCAATTCAGGGCAGGACAGGTAGGTCTCCCACAAAAACACGACAACTCAAACCCATTTGGCAAACACATTGTTTTCCAGTCTGAAACCAAAGGTTGGGTGCTTCGGCGCCTTCTCCCGCCTGTGGTTCGTGCATCACGCTCCCCAGAGCGAGTTCTTTGGAGAGTACTGCTCCCCACCCGAAGCAGGGCCTGTAGCGCCGATACGCAAACAGGATTGTCGAGAGGTGGGGTTTGACGGCCGCCGTGTCTGGCACACGCGGGTGCCAAACAACTACTGCCCTCAGATTCTGATAGGCTGGAACTTTCAGGTTAAATATCAGAGGCAAGAAATAAGTCTGAATCGGCGCCATCTTCAGGCGCCATCAAGTGCTGGGGTTGGCTTGCAGGGTCATACTGCTGGTCGCAGTTGAACATTGCCCGCACCACGGGCTCCTTAGTTTTAGGGCATCGTTTTCCACAAAAAGTAAGGTTTGGGGCACCTGCTTTCACCAAAAGGGCTATACCTATACCCTAAGCAAGGGAAACCGCAAGAACCCGTACTTGCTGCCATCCAGCAAACAAACACCGCCGACAACTGACAGTCAGACTGTGTGCAGTTAAGAAGCTTTGTCCTCTGAGTTGATCTTGCCCCAATCTTCACGTTTTTGGGTTACTTGGGCCTTCTGCCCAGCGAATTGCTGGAAGTAATCCTTCCGGTTACAGCGGCAGCTCACCAATGCTCACATGAGGCGAGGTATTGCTCTGGCTTTTTGCAAGATTTGAAACAGATCTTGCTTCTGGCCCCCCATCCGAAGAGTAGAACATTTGCTTGATCAACAAAAGGCCGAGAAGGAGACAAGGACATTCCTGAGAAGGATTCGGCTTTTGCAGTTTGAGCCCAGCAGTCCTCGAAGCGAGTTTCTTCTTGGGCTTCGCGGCCGGCCGCTTTATCGCCCTCATCGCCGACGCTGTCCGCTTCATACTGCCACTGCTGCTCTTCTGCTCTTGACTGACTGCTGCTCTGCTGTTCCGCTATTCCTGCTGCCATCTCGGGCAAAGTATTTTGGGCCCCTGGCTGGCGTTGGCCTTCAAGTTGGCAGCACTGCAAGCCAAACAACCCAGAGCGTGAAACAACCAAGTCCCACGAAAGCTCATTAAAAGTGGTTTGCCTCTTTTTGTTGCACCTTTAACCTTCAATCGTTTTGGGATACCTGTGTTGCCCTTTCAACCAGCAAGCGGAGTTTTAATGTGTCTTGCAAGGAACACTAGCTACGCTTGGAATCCAATGCCGGCAGAATCCAGCAAAAGAGGAAAGTGTTTGGCATGTGTGTTTCCAGGCAGAAAGACGCAGAGATGTGTGTTTCCAGGCGCGAAAATGCTTGGATGCGACAATGTTTTTCTCTTTTGTTTGCCATCCTCGGCGGCCTTAGCTACTTGTTTTTGAAACCTGGAGTCACTGTTTGACGCTTTTCCATGGGGGAGAGGCCCTCCGAGGCTGAAAAGTTTGTTGGTCGGTTCCCCTTTGTGGTTTGCATTGGTGCTTTTGAGATATGAACCCTTGGTTCTCGCTTACACACAACCTTGGTAAAGTCTGGCAAAATAGTTGTGTACTCCAGTTTCCCATCCTGCCAGGACCGCGGGGATTTTAAGGACTCGGCTCACGACCCCGAGACCTTACGTGTGATTCTGCAGGCGGGTGAATCCAGTTTCTGTCCAAAGATCCAGTCTTCTACCGCCAACTTGCGGACAGGACAACCCCACTGAAGATCTTCAGATCATTCAGCCAACACCCAGGCCGTCTAAATACTCCAAAAGTCCGTCTCTTTTGTTGGAATTGGGGGGGTGTCTGACTAAACATGTTGACCGTGGAGAACCAGGTGTTCCAGAAAAATACACTTTGAACAAAGACCAGAACCAGAAATCTCACCTGAGTTTGCCCTCAAGTTTGGAAGCACTCCGAGCGCGCTTTCGCGACCTTGTATTTGCCTACTGATCTTTGACATACCCTCGGTCAAGGGTCCCCATTGGAAACTGGAACAGGCGTCACCTTTCAGCAAGCAATCTTAGAACCTGAAAGAGGGTCCATGTCCCACTACACCAAAATGGTCTTCCAAGTCTACCTGCTAGGTGGTTTGCTCAAATGATGGAAGTCCTAAGTCAAATGGTTGATGCTCAGGGCTCCCAAACTGGCTCTTTTGCCGGCACGCCCACTACATAAGTCGACGGAGGAGCTGTTTTGCCCATGTGTTTCGAGATGTTGGTCGGGATCGCCTCAACACAGGCACATGTCGAAGGGTTTGGGTCCAATTCCGATTTGGGCCCTTCTCTGTTGAGCACTTCACAGGCAGAAAGAATGGACTCAGACCGCCCCGGGCCCAGGAGTGCGGGATTTCTCCAGAGGCCCAGGCACATTGGCGGCTCACCGCGAGTGAGTCAGAGCTGGCCGGGCTCTCAGTTCCGAGTTTGAGTCTGGTACCGGCAGGAGGGAAGGTGGCTGGGGGCTTGCAGGTGGTTGGGGGGGGGGGGGGGGGGTTGTGTGTGTGTTTTTTTTGGGGGGTTGGCCGTGGGTGGTTTGAGCTTTTCCGGCTTCAGCCCGCTCACATTGTGCCCTGTTGAATTTGAGGGGAGTTGTACCTCCCGAGATCTATTTTCCGGCGGACCCCTGACGGACTGTCAGGTGGCTGGGCCACGACATGCGGACCCTGGGGTGCACATAAATCAACCTAAGATGGAACACGGCAGAGGGCGTTTACAGGAAATTGTTTTTTAATGACCCCATTTTTCATGTTAGTGGCTGGGGGGGTACATCCACCAGCCATCTCTGATGGCATCCCTGGTCCGCATCAAAAGTCACAGCCAAATGGATCAGCCCACGAAGGAGGTAATCCGACGAGCGCGAAGGGCATGGCCGACCAAAACGCAGCGTCCACCCCTGGCAGTTTTTTTTCCAGAATGTTGGGCGATCCTACTCTGATCATGACCAAGGAGTTATGAGATTTAGTTGAATGCCGAATTGTATTTTTTGCATGATGGAGCTCAATGATTTGGGCATATTTGGGCATTCATTGAACAAATCAACGGTGTCCATTTTTTTCGGCAGTCCCTGAGCTCTTCAGGCATGCGTACCAAGAGAATTTAGCGCCCCGTCCACACAATCCAAAGCGACTCCAAGGTAGTGTAGCATGTGATATGATTCCCCGCATAGTGCTCAGCAAGTTTTCAGGGTTGGAAAAGCACATCCTTCGCGGGCGGCCTCAACACCTCGATAAAGGGCGATAAGCTCACTCAAGAGCTGCAAGGTGATGCCAAACATAATCCTGGGTGTTCAGTGGTTCTCTCAGGGGATTCCCCAATGAAATTGTCAACCTTCGCTTCCTTTCGTTGATTCTATTGGTTGGTTCTTTATTTTGTTCAACCATTGCTCTCTTCAAGAGCCTGCCATTTTCTCAGAATGGTGGGTAGTTTTCTAGAGAGAAGGATCCCTGGAAACAATGGGAAAGTTGCCCTCTCGCAGGATAGCGCGGCAGGACTGAGGCTTTGCCAACAGGACTGTGACTGTGCCAAACGTGTTTGCCATGCCTGTCCCGGGTCAAAACCAGAGCTTGTGTAGTGGTTTCGGAAACCTGGCGAAGACAACTTTGCAGAGTCCAAAACGTTTCCAGGTTTTTAGGAAGCCCTTGGAAGACGCCAAATGAATCAAGCCCGCTCTAGGAAGGTTGCACGTAGATTCGGTTGAGTTCGATGCTCTTGCATCGTAAAGAATTCAGGGCGGAAGCCCACCTGTTCGTGGTTGGGGCTGATCCCCGACTAAGCTTCATGTAACAACGTTTGAATGCGATTCCTTCCGATGTCTTGACGTGAATCCTTTGCGAACAAAGTTGCCAATGGCTTTTCTTCCGCAATGAGCTTGCGGATGTGGACCTGCAATTGTCGATCTCAGCTTTTATGTTGTCAGCGAGGGTGCGTACCGTTCGGTTTGCCAGCCCACCAATGGGATACGGGGTGGGCGGGCGGGTTGGTGCTGTAGGAGGGAGGGGAGGGGAGGGAGGGGAGGGGAGGGGAGGGGAGGGAGGGGAGAGCAGAGGAGAGGAGAGGCGAGGGGGAGGGGGAGGGGCAGGGTGAGGGGCAGGGGGAGGGGGAGGGGAGGTATGATTGTGTGACGGAGGGACTGAGCGAGTGAGGGAGGGGGGCAAGGTGCGGTCTGGTAAAAAGGTGAGTGTGCACGTGCACATGCATGCGTGAGCACAGTTGTGTGCCAATTTGACGAGCAAATTGCAAGCATTTGATTGGAACGTGGCCTCATGCGCAAGAATCCTACAAACAGGGCTTTTGAGCACCGCTTGGCAAAGCAAACTGGGGTGCATATTTGTTTGGAGGGCAAACTTGTGTGTTTTGGCCTGAATGCCCATAATCTTGACATGCAGCGCAATTTGCATTGTGAGGTGCCCAGGTGGCGGCGTAGGTCAGCATGGTCACACCTTTTTGACACTTTGTTTAAATCCGTGGCAGGAAGCCATCCGTCACATTCGGAACCTTGCTCAAGAGAACCACGAGCGGGCCTTGCCGGACCTGCAGAAACGTGCCTTGGCGCATTGAAAATGAGACGCTAAGTTTTTTTTTTTTTTTTTGCAGCGTTTAAACATGATTATGTGACCGCTTGCTTGGCACCCAATGCAAGTCGAGCCCCCAATCCACTCCTGAAGGCGTGCGCAAACTGGGCTACACGGACACGGATCTGTGGATGGTGCTATCCTGGATCCGGGAACTGGCGCCAATCATTGTGCACATCAACGTGGACAAGGCACTGAACAGGGTACCCTCAACACAAAGCAAAACAAGCCCGTTTGCAGGCAAGGCAGCGGGCGCCCTCTAAATTTGAAGGGTTGGTTTGATTGGGCCCCTTTCTGTGGGAATTTGGTTGCTTAGACAAACTTGCTCAACGGTGCTTTGGTTGAGCTCGGTGACCATTTGCCGAGGGTCAGAGCAGAGCGTGGCTAAACATCCCCGGCAGGGCAGTGCTGAGACACTAAATGGCCCAAAAGGACACCGAAAGGGGACTGGTGAAAACAATTTGTGCAGACCCCCTTTTCAACACCCAGGAGTCAGATGGTTTATGCAGCTGAATGGGTTCCTTTTGCGGGGTTGCTCACCCAAGACTTGAAGAACTCCGGCAGTACGAGCAGAAGTTGGAAGTCCGTTTGTGAATTGTTCTGATGTTTGGTGCAACCCTGTTTTAGTCCCCCTACAGCCGAAGGGAGAGGGTCACTTGGTGTACTTGGCAGCTGGGATGGCTATTGTACTCCTGGGTGTGTGTGTGTGTGTGTGTTTGTGTGTGCGTGTTTGTGTCTGTGTGTGTGTGTTTGTCTGTGTGTGTGTGTGTCCGGAGCCCCACCCTCAGGGATCACTTTTTTAGACCTCTTGTCTTGGCCATACGCACCTGCCAGATCGGCAAGTTCTTCATGGAGGACCCGAACGATCCCTGCGGAACGCTTCGCAGATTCGGCATGCCGAACGCGAGAATGGGGTGCTCGGATCAGAGGCAACCCTGAACATGGACAAGTGGCGATCTTGAAGTTCAGTCGGAGTGTGGTGTTGGACGGTTAGTGTTCAGCTTTGGCTTTGCCAGGTATGATGTTGGGCTCATGGCGGCTGGGTTGATTCTGAATTTGCGTGGTATGGGGCAGTCAGTCTGGAGGATACTGGAGGTCTGGCGTGGCAAGTAGAGTCGTGTTTAGTGCCTTATTTGGTTTGCTCTTGTGAAGGTTGGTGCCTTCAGACCCAGTCCCCAAAAGAGCCTGACACGGGCCGTACCAGCCCCAGCCCCGACAACCAGCCCTCAGCAAACAACAAGCCACGCCCAGTCAGCCCAAAACCACCTGCACTCAGCCTAAGGCAAATCGAAGTCAACATTAAACAACACTAAGCCAACCCGAAATCCACCCGGACCCGCCTCCAGAACCATGTCCACCCTCGAAAGCAAAGTGCAGCTCACACGGTGACTTGGAGACAGCAAAAGTATAACACAGCACTCCCACCATGTTGATACGTAACGCAAGGGATTCCGGGTCTAACGTACCTTTTAAAGTACACTGCAACCCCATTCTACATATGCAGGCCCTTGTATTACTACGTTAGCCAGGGCGCTGCTCAGTGGCAAGTCGCGATTGGGAGGACAGCCATTACCGCAACCAGTTCGAGACCAACACTTCGGGCGGCCTTTTGAAGACATCTGCGCGAGAGAAGTGGGAACGCGGCGTCTCGACCTGACGACCCTGTGGGAGGTGTCCTTTTTGGATGCCATTGACGTGGGTGCAAAGGGAGGCGAAAATGCAAACTGCCCAAATGGAAGGGGTGCCCCGATTTAACAGCAAACCGAGTTAGCGACTCCCCTGTTTCCATGCCCAGTTTCGACTAGCTAGCCCAACGCAGAGGGGCGCTGCCCATTTTGCAATGGCCTCTCGATGGATGTGCTTGGCAGCAATCAAAGGTTACACCAGACGCCTCGGCCAAGGGCGTTTCAGGGTAAATAAGGGGCACACATGGGGCTTCGGCTTTTGTAACGGGACATCATTGACACCCTCCCCTTTGGCCAGCCTTAGGTCTCTTCGGCACAGCCTACGACCGCGCCAGCGCCTTCGAGCGGCCGAAGTACGGGGTGCAGAACATTTGGAACGATCCCAGGGGCGTGGTGGGCGCCAGGCAGTACGGCCACTGAGCGATTCAGGGGCCAGCGAATTCGGGGGGTAGACCAAGTTTTGATTTGTTTTCTGCACCACGTTTTGGGGTCGGTCTCGCAAGGTGTAGCTCTTTGGAGTTGCGGTTTGGCAACAATATGGACTATATACTTTGGCTTGCTAACTTTAGAGCCAGTGCAGCTGGGCTTCCCGAAACACCTAAAGTTCTTTGATTGCATCCTGCCGGCTGCCCGATGACCTCATTTAATCCTCGCAAGACGAAAGATGACGAAAGAATGAAATAGGCGTTCGGTCCTGAGAAGGAGAAGTCACCAAGACTACTCTTTCCTCATCCCCCCCCCATCCCACACGTTTGCAATACTTCAGATTCATAGCGCGTGTTCATGGCACAACCCCAAGCTGCACGGTAGGATTGAATATTCGGAGGCAGCACTTTGGGCCAAAGCCGGGCTCGCTCAAAAGCAGCCGAGCTGGCCGGGCGCGCCGCGAACCGCGAACCGCGCCTTACCAAAACCGCGTTTGCGGGGCGCGCTGCTAAGATGGCGGAGCGCTCCGATGCGGATGAGGCAGACACCCAGTTGCCCAGTGGCACATTTTTACTTATTCTCGTTTTGTTCTTCGGGTGGTGTTTCCTGAAAACAGCCAACCAACACTTGAATTGTTTTCTCTTCCATGTTTACCACTTGTCAGGCATTGTTGTTTTCTTTTGGCAGATGTTTGTTTCAAACTAAGCGTAAGGAACAAAGAAAGACAGCTACAAACAAACAGAGCAAGAAGAACAGAGAGAAAAAGCAACTGAAAGAACAACAGAAAGAGAAAGGACAAAAGGAGCAACACAGCAAAGAGAAACAACTCAGGTGACATCCCCAACAGCATGCGATGCTCTTTTTAGTGCTCGCACCACCCCGCAGCCCTCGCAGAACCTCGTAGAACCCTCGTGGAACCTTACCTCAGGGCCGCCCCGGACCACCACGCAGCCTACCTGAACTAAAAAACCCAAAGCTTTCAGCTGTTGGGAAAAAATCAAAACAACACATGAAAAATGATAAGATAAGGAAGGAATAAAGAAGAAATACAGGATGCAACGTTGACATTGGGCCATATTGTCCCCAATAAATTTGAACACCTTTCAACATGCTTGGAGCAGCAGTTCCATCCCAGCAGAATAACATGAGAGCATCATACGCATGTATTGCAAGTACGCTGCACAGCTGCCGGCAGCCCCGAGAGTGGCAATTCAAATCGCAAACTGGGTCGCGACGCAGCACCGAATGCTCGGGTGACATTCACTTGGGCCAACTTGCCCACAGAGCCACGATCAAAACAAAGCCTAGCTGGGAAAATGAAGGTTAGGGGAGGCCGCCCTTCTAATTCTTGGGTTCACCACGTCAATACTAGGCTTTGATTGCCTCAGGTGGGCGCAAGTCCTCACCGGGACTTGCATGATATCATCGCATCTCCGGGTAGCAGGGTAGCTATGCCTCAAGTCAACGAGCCTGCGTTGGAAGCTATTTGAAAGTTTACAATGGACTCATTGGACACTGTGGTTTCTCATGTTGGGGGGGCTGTGGTTTGGCGTGTTTTTGCCATAGGTTTGCAACGTGTTTGCCCACCCCTACTGTTGTTCAGTCGCACTCGTTTCTTCTTTTTTGTTTAGTGGCTTCCCCGCTAAGAATGGCATCTCAAAACGAATTACAACTCGTTGTGTAAGAATCATCAAAGGTCTTTGCGCAAACTGGGCCAATGGCTTTGCCGGGGTTTTCCCTTCATCCCACAGGCTCCGACCTTTTCCGGACGGTCAGGAGAGCAACTTGCTGCAGCGCTTCGAGGCGCTCTCTAAGAACTTCCGGTCGGAGGTCCAGGTGCTGCTTGGCCAGGAGCAGGAAGCCGCCAAGGACCTCGTGCCGAGCGCAGAGGCTACGCCTAGAATTTTAGCATTCCGAGCAAAGCCATGTTTAACAGATGTTGTTTATTGTAGTTTTATGTCAATGTGAATTTGCATTGAGAGTTTGGGGTCCGGTGGTTGTCCTTTGGTCCGCTCTTTTCCTCGGGGGGAGGGAGAGGACTGCACGAGGCACGGTGGATGCAATTAAATATGAATCAAGCAGCGGAGCACGTTGGACACCCAAAATGAGCACCACCAAATGGACTTAGAGGGCATTTAAGCATGTGACACACTGTGCGATATTGAATATCCAGATTCCTTACCCTTCCACAAACAACAATGGTTTGGTGCTGCACACGCCATTCCAAAGTAAGCGGTTCTCGAGAAGGGGGGGAAGGGGGTGGTGCACCATCTTTGGTTACTTTGGCAAGACGGCCTGCGCATAAAACCATGTTTGTGGCGGGAGGGTGTATTTCGACCCTATAAACTCCACCGCACCAAAAGGGAACTCGCTGAACATGGCCCGAAAAGATGATGTTTAAACCACCAGGGGAAAATCTGGCACCGACCAGACAGTCCCAGAAAGAGTCAAATCATTTTGCAGGAACCTCCAGTCAAGCTCCCGTCAACCCCCCCCAAGGGTTCCCAGCCAGTTAAGCACCCAACTCGGCAGGACCTGGCGCAGCTGAGGCTCCGCAATGTGGAGCTGGAAGAGCTGCTGCTGGTGACACGGATGGACGGGCGCATCTATAAGTGTAGACGGGCAAAATCCTCTTGGCAACAGTTGGTAGGTGGTTTTCCCAAGTATGCAGGGGTTCATCCATCCCAACTAGTGAGGATTGTGTCCATACACAGTAGGTGTCTATGTTGGGCTTAGCTTGGCTGGCCTGGTTCCAGTTTTGCTCTACTCATTTGCCGTCTCTTGTTTAACTTGGGGCACATCCCACTCATCCCACTTTTTTGGGGAAGCAGCGGGGCTTAGGGGTTTAGGGCTTAAGATGAAAAAGGGTGTAGAGTTGAGGGTAATTGTTTTGTGTTTGGGTTTTGGAGTTTTGATACATGTTTGTTTACAAGGAATCAATGATCACACAGGGTCGCTTTATTTCCCTTTAGCTTATTTTGGGCCTCGCTACTTGGGCCGTTTGATTGGAAGACGTCTTTGGTGGGATGATGCGTCAAGGGAAACCAGGACTGATCATGGCCCATGTGTTCGCCTTGCTTTGGTGGTCGCTTGTCTCCTGTTTGCTCTCCCTTTTTCCGTTCTGTTCTTGTGTTCCCTCCCGCCTTCCCTTGGTTTCTCTTCTACGTACTAGACTCTCAGTTTTGACGATTCCACACCTAGTTGGCAAGTATTCTGCATGGTGAAACCGAATGGGGGAAAGCAGACAAACTACTTTCACTAAACTGCGACTTTGTCATTGTTCCCCTTGTTGCCTTTATTATTCCCTGACTGGTTTCTCTCCTTAGTATCTTGTTGGTTCTTCTCTTTTGTTTGACTATCTTGTCTAAGCAGGTTGACCCGTGGAGCTGTTCCTATATTCGTTCTTTTGGCGGGGAAACCTCGAAAAGTCAACCACAAGAAAAAGGATCACGATTTGTTTGTTGTGTTTGCTCTTCGAAGGCGTATTGCCTTTAGAATCCCGCAACAGAGCAAGAGTGTGTCTGTGCGTAACGGCATAGACTTTCCTTGGCTAAGAGGAATGACATGAATACTGATCTTTTTTGGGTTGTGTTTTTAAGTTTACCCCCTTTTGGCTAGCGCAAAAGGAACCCAAGAGCACAACCACTCATTCTCGGGTCCCCGATTTTGACGCGCACCCTTATTGGACGGCCCCCGTTTGCCCGTTTCAACTGAGGCGAAGACCCAGGAGGCCCAGAAGGCCTTGAGCGCCATTCGGGCCGTTTCTGGGCAGGCGGGGGAAGTGACCCCGGCTGGCTGAAAGCTGCTTGGGCATACGTCCAAATAGGGGGCCCTTGAAAATGATGGCTCCCACGTGAACTAACCCACAAAAGCGTCCATTAAAAACACAACACACCTGTTTGCCATCCCTGTTCAAGCGAGGAAAGGGCTCAAGGCCCGCCAATCATTTTCAGTTGCCTTCGGTTCCTTTGGTCGGGGTTCCTCTTGACCACCAAGCCAAAGCAACGTGTTCTGGTCAAAAGCGAAGCCGGTGCTGAGCCAGGACTCCGAGTCAGGGGATTTGGTGAGCATGGTGGACGCCTTGATCGAGGCGAGCCGCGCGCAGGTGCGGCCGGAGGTGCCCCTCGCCAGATGTTGTCTCCTCATCCGACAGGACCTGACCATGATGAAATATCAGGCCTAGCCTGTGTTGACATGGAGAACCGCGCGAGCGCACAGGTTGGTTTTTGGTGCCTATTCTTTTTGTGCAAGTGTTTTATGCCGAAAGGTTCGCCATGTTTGAGCTTTCCACAGCCTTTGCTTGCTGCAAGGAGGGCTGCTTTGAGAGGGACTCCTTTTCCGAGAGAATTTGCCAACTCGAAACACGCTTTGTACAAGGCCTAAGCGCTAACTTTTTGTGTTGGAACGCGCCTTGCCTCAAGGAAAAATGAGGTGTATGCGGTGTATGGTGTTGCCCCTGGTTTTCCCCGCGATTTGGTTATAGAGGAAGCCGAAACCAAAGCTATACGTGGAACCCAAACGGCCAATGCGGGGTACTGCGACTTGTCACATGTACCGCCGTGCGCTAAATCTGTGGGTACTGACCTGTTTGAGCAAGTTGTCACACGTGTTTTGGACATGAAAGCCCACAAAGCGCTGCTGTCCAGGGCTTACAATCACCTATATCACAAGCCCTCATATTTTATTTGTTGGATGGCCTGCACATGACAGCATTTTGGCCCATCCCATGATTGAGTTTCCCGTGGGTGACAGTGATGCTTAACTACACATAATTACTTCAAAGAACAATGTGCTTTTTGTGCATCAATACAATATAAGTATCTTCAGGAGTGAAGACGCTGTGCTTTTCCAGTTATTGTGGAGTCATTTGCCCCAAGTCTTTCCCTACGTTTTGAAGTTATGATGGTGATTCCTTGTGTTTCTCCAAGAGCGGTTCCCAGCTACGCGGGTTGCCCAAGGTTCAGCAATGCTTTTCAATCAGGGGGTGGGGGTTCCGGTTTAACCCCGAGGTTTTGCCACCAGTTGGGGTTGAGATAGTTGCATCTTCAACCCACATAGTAGGAAAACACATGGTTGTACGAGCACCAACCTCCAACCCTTGAAGCCTATTGACCCAGTTGAACATCCAAGCGGGGCTGAGGTTGCAGGCGCAAGCTGAGCTCTCGGAGCTGAAAGCCCAGTTGGAGGCGGAGCGGGAGGAGGGCCAGGGCCTACGCGAGCAATTGGAGGACACAAGTCGTCATTCCTTCGGTAACAACAGCAGGCCCGGGAAATTGCGTCTCGTATGCCTTCACCACTACAAAAGTCTATATCAAACAGCAATATTGGAATAAAAAGCCAGATATTGATAAAGAAGATTAGAGAAAAACCAATTAAATTATATATTCATTAAGTAGCAAGGAAATGGGCACCGGCTGGAAACAATAAGAAGAACAATGATACACATCAACATAGAAAATATGATACAGCACGTAGGTGGTGCATACAAAATGTGATTTATGGGCTCCCACTTATCTATATATATATATACATATACAGGTGTCCAAATATATATGTATATATATATATATATAGACGTGTACATGTGTGTACGCATACACATGAATTTATGTATACAATGGTGTTTGTGTGTGTGCATGACATGTTTGTGTGTATACGGTGTGTATGTGGGCATGCTAGCTATTGCGAATGCGCGCCGTGGGCCTGCCCGATGACCCACGCAAAAAAGAGGATAAGAAACTGGCAAACCGACAAACTGCCGTTGCTTGTTTTCGTCGTGTTGGCAATTTTCTTTGTTTTCGCCTGTTCGCCGCGTTTGTCGTTTTCGCCGTTTTCGCCCTTTGGCAAACACACCCGCTCAAGCGCACCCGCTCGGCACGGCTCACATGCCTGGCAAAAGCTGGCACCCGCTCAAAGCGCACCCGCTCAGCACTGCGCACTCGCCAGCCAATCAGTAAAAGAACACCAGCTCAAGCGCGCCCGCTTGGCAGTGCACCCGCTCGGCACTGCACACATTCCAGCCAAATGGCAAGAACACCTGCTCAAGCACAAGCGCTCCGCACTGCACATGCCAAATGGTAAGAACATCAGCCCAAAGCATGCCCACTCTGCACTGTGCACATGCGAAATGTGGTTTCTCCATTGTCGCCATGATCGCCGATTTTGTGTTTTCTCTTTTCGGCGTTCTCGCCGCTTTTGGTATTTTCGCCGTTTTTTGTTTTAAACGTTTTCGCCGTTTCCGCGTTTCTGCGCTTCAGCTTTTGTCACAGTAGCCATGATGGTTTTGGAGGCGTGGGCTTTGGGAAAGCCTGTTTGACCGCGTTGGCCTTGACGTCCGTGAAAGCTTTGCTTTTTTGAAAGAAAGAGGCCGTGCTCCCTTCATCAATCTAGCGGGCACACGCGAGCTGTGGCGCAGCGTGCGGAGGCCAGGCTGGTAGGATATGGGCAGCGGGTTTCCGGTCCCTAAATTTTGAGCTTGCAAAAAGGTAAAGCTTGCAAAAAGTTAAAGCAACTTTTTGCAGATCTATAGCACCCAGCCAATTGGGGCTGTCCGCAGACGCAAATGTTGGCAGGTTGCAGCGCTTCGCGAAGAAATTGCAAGGCTGAAGGGGGGGCTCCATGTGGGTCGCGGGGGAGAAGGGAGGGCCCTGGCAAAATGGCATTTGTGGCCGTCTGATGTACTCACTTGGCAAATGGCACAGGGCCCGCGGATCTTGCTTCATGTGTTGACGCACGCCCAGGCTCGAAGTCGCCCAAGACGACGGACGAGGTCAGCCTCATGGGCGGGAAGACGCTTGTGACGGTTACCCGTCACCAGATCTTCGCCTGATGCGCTGCCTGGTGGTCTCTGATTCAAGGAGTCCTGGAGCAAGGCCAACTCAGCGTCCTTGAATACTGTCCCCAGGAGGCACCTTCCTATAGCGCGACACGGTGACCCACGTATTCCGTCCCCACGTTTTGCTTCTGCGTGGTCCCTAGGAGAACTTCCTCGAAGTCGCCGGCCGTGGCTGCTGCGCATCATCATGACGCAATGCTTGGGCAGCCGTGCAGCTCCGGCTCTCATGTTGGCTATGTCAGTACAATGTGTGCCTATTCTTTGGTTGCTTTCGGCTCTGCGGGGAAATGGCAAGTGACTTCCATTAGCTAGCGTTGGGCTTTGTAATGCGCAGCCAGCAGGCCAGGTCAGCCAGCAGGCCTGTTGTTGCTGAACGTGATCCACCGAAGCGTGACAACATTGGCAAATGCTCGTTTCGTCAACTTTGCCCTTAGCGTGGAGGCCAGGCTTGTAGGATACTGTTGGACGGCCCGACATGGAACCCAACTTCGGGGCCTGGCAGTCAACGAGCGGCCGCTAAATCACAGATTGACATGCTCGCCTTGGGGGGGAGAGTGGCCGGAGTTTGTTCCATTTTTGCCCTTGTGGCCAACTTGCCGACAGTTACGCCATCCTAGTATGACCCGCAAGATCCCCGACGAAGGCGTCACCTTTTCTCGTTGTTCCCTCGCCTCAATTTTTCGAGAGCTTCTTTTGCAGCGCCTGCACGTTTCGCTTGTCACCCGCTCGTGCACCCGCTCGGCGCTGCACACTGCGCACATGCTTGCCAAATGGTAGGAACGCCGGGCTCAAGTGCATCCGCTCAGCACTGCCCGCATGCCTGCGTTTTCTCTGTTCGTTGTCACCATCTTCTCCGATCTCGCCGCTTTTGCACTTGTCGGCTTTGTTTTCGCCGATCTCAGCCGTTTGGCGTTTCTGCGGTGTCATCTGTAGGGAACGCATTCGGAACCCACAGCGACTGTGTGTCTGCGTGGTGTGTGTCATTGTCTGTTTTTGGCTTGTTGGTTTTCTTTCTTTCGTTCGTGCTTTCTTTCTTTCTTTCTTTCTTTCTTTCTTTCTTGCTTGCTTGCTTGTTTGCTTGTGTGTGCTTGTGTATTAGTTTGTTTCTTTCTTTGTTTGCGTGGGTTGAGTGTTTTGCGCGTGTGTTGCGCGTTCCATGTGTGTGTGTGTGTGCGTGTGTGCGTTTGTGTGGTTGTGTGTTTGTTTGTTTGTGTGATTTGTTGGTTTGTTTGATTTGTCTTGTCTTGTTTGTTTGTTTTGTCTTGTTTTGTTTGGTTGTCTATTTGTGTTTCTGTGATTTGTTTGGTTGTTTGTTTGGTTGTTCGTTTGTTTATGACTCCGTCGCCCTGTAATCGCGCGCTCACGCGCGTGGTTTCCCCACTGCAATAATCGCGCGCTCACGCGCGTGGTTTCCCCATTGCAGGGACGCAAAACCCTTCAAATCATATGTTTTTCACACATTTCGATCGTCTCCGCCTTCCGCGCCGCAAAGAGCGCATTTGTCATGGAAATTGACAGTTTCTGACCACGTCCAGCGCATGACTTGCATGCACTGCGCACGTGCATTGCACTGCATCCGCTCAGCACTGCACACATGCCGGCACATGACAAGCATACCCGCTCCAGTGCATCCGCTCAGCACTGCGCACATGCTGGCGCATGACAACTAAGCACACCCGTTCCAGCGTATCCGCTCAGCACTGCGCACATGCTGGCACTAAGCACACCCGCTCCAGCACATCCGCTCAGCCGTGCGCACATGCTGGCACATGTTAAGCACACCCGCTCCAGCGTATCCGCTCAGCACTGCGCAAATGCTGCGCATGATAGGCACACCAACTCCACTGTGTCCGCTCAGAACTGCGCACATGCTGGCACATGATAAGCACACACGCTCCACTGTATCTGCTCAGCCGTCCGCCCACATGATAGGGACACCCGCTCCAGCGCATCCGCTCAGCAGTGCGCACATGCTGGCGCATGATAAGCACACCCGCTCCAGTGAATCCGCTCAGCACTGCGCACATGCTGGCACATGATAAGCACGCCCGCTCCAGTGTATCCGCTCAGCACTGCGCACATGCTGGCACATGTTAAGCACACCCGCTCCAGCGTATCCGCTCAGCACTGCGCACATGCTGGCACATGATAAGCACACCCGCTCCAGTGTAAATGCAGTGGGCCGTATTGTGCCCCAAAGAATCCATATCATCCAGTTTGCCACCAAGCGTCTGCAAGACCTGGCTTGATGCCTCTCTTGGAATGCTTTGGTCGATATAGAGAAGAGCGAAAGAACGCTCTTGGCCTCGCTCTTAAGAACTGGTGCAAAGTTGACTCAGACTCTTTGTGGCTGCGCCCTTGAAAAAGGCAGGATCTTTGATGGCAGCAGCTCTGAGAACAGCAAGGTTGCGATCCCTGTGAACTGCCAACGAAAGTCAAGGTGCCTTTTCGATACCCACAGTAAACGAGGGGGTGACGTTCTTGTTTTTAGCACGTTTACAGTCGATGAAGCGTTGTTTGTTCATGTTTGTTGCTTTTGCTTGGTTGCTTGCTTTGGAGTGTATGTCTATTTTGCTGTTTGTTTGTGCTTTGTTTGTGTTTTGTTTGTGTTTGTTTGTGTTTGTTTGTTTGTTTGCTTGTTTGCGTGTGTGCATGTTTGTGTGTTGTGTCTTTGTGTGTGTTTTGTTGTGCTGCTTGTTTGTTTTGTTTCGTTTTGGTTTGTAGTTTGTGCGTGCGTGTTTGTTTTGTTTTGTGTTCTCTGCGTGTTTGTTTGTGTGAGTATTGTTGGCTCTGTGTCTCCGTGTGGCTGTGTGTATTTGTGTGTGTCTTGCTTGCTTGGCTTGCTCGGCTTCCTCGGCTTGCTTGCTTGCTGGCTGGCTGGATTGAAATGGCTTCGCATTCCTTCGTGCATGATGGTGTGAGGGAGCAGCCGATTGCCCCTGTTGTCAAGGGACCTCAGCCTGGCCAAGCGCAGTTAGGAAGGCCTGTGTTGCCACTTTACTCCAAGCAAAACTGAAATCAAATTTGCATTCCTGAAATTCGCCACGTTGTGGACTTCCGTCTTTGTTTTTTGTGCAAAGCGTTCGTTGCGGGAAGGTGCTGGAAGTTTTTGGATAAGGCTCTCAGTTGTGCAAGGTGCTTTGCAGCCAGTACTGGTCTTGTTTAGGGTCTAAATTATGTTGGTTCAAGATCTATTGGCAACAGGGGTCACCTACCAGTAGAGTGCCCCACCTGAGTTTTCAATTTTCAGCTGTTTTTGTTCGCAGCTGTCTCATTTTGTTGCCTGCCACTTGGGTCCAGGACCGGCAACTCACAGTTTCCCACCTTGTGTCTTTTTTGGAAGGCGTTTGTTTCCCCTAAAATCTGCCCAAAAAGAGTGCCCTTCTTTTGCTGATCCCTAGTTTGTTCCGCTTTCCTGTGCACATTCTGACCGCGCAAATGAGTTGCACTGGTGTGATTTTAGGTCACTTTGGCTGAGCTGGGTTCCATTGGTTTCAATTCGGTTCTGATCAGTTGCCTATTGTCCTCGAAATGACGTAGGGGAGAAGTCCCCCTGCGGTTTAAAGCGACATCCACGAAGACGCCATCGCCGTTGCCCACTATGCGATTTGTTTCCAGGAGGCGCAGAAGCTGAAATCTCAGGAGGAGAAGGAGCTTTCGGAGTTCAAAGCTCTCAGAGAGAAGGAAAACGAGCTTCAGATGAGCCACCGGGCTTTCACGAGCAGATCCGTTTAGGTTTTGGAAAGCCAGACGGCTGTTGGAGATTCCAACATTGACTGCTGCAGGTTTAAGAGGGCTGCTCCGCCCCTCCCAACAATGCAAGGGTAGAAAATTAGTAGACGGAATCCTTGTCCAAGGACATATTTCGAATGGTTGCCTCTTGTTCCAGAGTCTTTGGAGCAACCTTGGCAAAAAGCGGCTGGACCCACTTTTTGGGTTCCCTTATTTTGGAGATTTGTTTCAATCCATTTGCTTTAGAAGAACCTTCTTTGGAGGGGAACGTCCCTTTTGGGGGGTTTATGTTGATTGCAGTGGGTCAGCGATGGCCGGCTGCAGGCAAGATCCAGGTGCAAAAGCTGCGGGGCGAGCTGGACGAGACCCAGGCGGACCTCCGCCAGCTGGAGCAACGGCTGGCGCAGCAAGCGCAAATCATCCAGGAACAGTCGGAGACTCTCGGAGCTGTTTGGAGGTTGAAGGGAAGGATCTCTTTTGATCGGGAGCGGTATGGTGCCACGTGGTGAAACTTTGGATTGCTCGAACAGTTGCTCAAACAGTCAGACCCGTGTTCTCATTGATGTGTTATTTTCTTCTTTTTTTTGCGTCGGGAGGCAGTATAAGAATCAAACGAGTCGGTTTTTTTGGGTTAAAGGGCAAATGCTGAGTGCAGATGTTTGGGGCCGGCTTTCACCATCCCTGGTCTTTTTCGGGGGGGGGAGGGTTGCATCTAGGTTCTTCAAAATCACTGCGAGCAAAACAAACCATCCAAGAAATTATCCAATTTGGCACTCCCCCTGTACCATTTGCTGTTTCCTCAAAAGGAGGCAATGGAGGTAGATCTTTTGACATCTTGTTTGCGCTTGGTTGCCTTTTGAGCCGTTTCACAGTTTGATGAATATGATGTTGGCGCCCGCCATTTGAGTGGAAGTGTCTCTTTAGTGTCGGCATTGTTCATAAAATGGGGTCTTGGCTTTGGTAGGCACAAAAGGAAATCCATGAATCTAGTTTGGTTTGGCGAGCTTCTAGTTTCACGTGTAATCCGTGTGTCATAATTGGCGACTCTTCAGAAGTTTGGTCTCCGTTGTTCCCTTTCAGGCAGCCAAGCGTTTGTGTTTTGAGACACGCTCATGTGGTTTCCTGGAGATCCAGGAAGGTGGCGTCTGTGGTGAAGCAGCGGGACCAGGAGGTGGAACATGCCCGGCTCTTGGCGGACGAGAATAACTCGCTTCGGCTGGAGCTTGGCAGGGACACGGACTACCTGAAGGTGGTGTCGGCCCCCAGGGACCCCTTGTCCTACAGGCATGGCTTCCGACTTGCCGATATTGGTTTGCCTTTTTTGGGGGAGCCCTAGGAAGACTCTATAATTTAGGCGGTCAGAAGAGTTGCTTACCTGAATTTGTTCAGGAAGGAGCAGGCCTTCGACCGACCATTGCCCCTTTTTAGGGAAGCAAAAGTTGATTGTAAAACAACTGGTCTGAAGGTTGATGTCAATTCTTTTCGCCCGTGTGTGTTTTCGATTGCCGACTTATTCCCCCCGGCTTAGGCAATCTGAAAATATGATCCCCCTCGAAAATATGGGCTTCGCTTTCAACCCAAAAAGGCGACCCGAAAAAATGAGACGCCCGCATGGCTCTCATGAGCTGACATTTGATCAACCGTGCAAAAGCCCCAACCTGCTTACAGGTGTGACGCCGGGCAACTGGACGAGGAGCTAACTGCGGAAGCATGGCGGACTTCAGATTGGGCTTTTAAGAACATGGCATTTGCGTCAAAACCTGGCAAGTTTCCAAGTGGTTACTTTCCTTTTGGTGTCCTGTTGGTCTTCTTTTCCTTGGGCTTTTTGCTGCTTTGCTTTCAACGTGTTCTAGTGTGTGCAAGGGCAACTGCAAGCTGATTGGTTAGAGGAAACGTCGCCGAGAGAAAAAGGAAGAGAGAGACAGAGAGAGACAGAAAACAAAAAGAAAAGAAAGAACGAAAGAAATAAAGAAAGAAAGAAAGAAAGAAAGAAAGGAACAAAGGAACAAAGGAAACTAGAGAGAGAGGGAGACAGACAAAAGAACAAAACTGCAAGTGCTTGCCTTGGGGGGGGGAAACGCTCAAATCCCGCGTGTAGGGCAGTCCATGAACGACGCTCCGTTTGGAGGCCCATTTTCCCAAAACGCCGGGGGTGGGGGGGGGGGGGGGGTTTGGATCCGCGCCTTGGGATCCGAAGGGGATCCTTCGCAAGGAAGATGGCCGGTTCCGGGAGGAGCTGAGAACTATGGCCGCCAAGTTCCCTGGACTGGCAGGCGGATGGGGGCTGAGTCACTGAGTCGAGCCCTGAAATTGGGCGTGTTTTTGGAGTTTCCTTGAAAGTTGAAGAAATTCAAGCAACCCATATTCCCTTTTCTGGGTTTTCCGGGGCCATGTATTTTTGTTCGGTAGGGTGAAGCTAGCAAAAGGACGTACCTAGGAACCCTGAGTTGCCATGTCTTGCAGAGGATTGGCACGGGGGCAAGAGAAAAATGGAGGGGAAGGTGACGGGGGCCCGGCCGGGCATGGAGGGGGAAGGTGGGAAGAGGTGTTCGCGTTCTTGTTTACTTACCCTTTGGCCCGGTTGATCACACGTTCGATCTTTACAGAATACTTGTGTCGCGACGTTGTTGGTTCATTCAGTGAAGATGGCATCACGTTTGTCAGTTGCATCAACGTTGCTCTTGTGGTGTTCCATGTTTCCCTTCGCGTTCCAGGCATGCTGGCAAGTGGGACTATGGAATCCCTGCCCCCGTCCCCATTAAGCAACGTTGGGGACATCGAGGGCTAAAAACATTCCCAACCGAAGCGCTGTTGCACCAACTCCTCTTGCCCGATTTGCAACCATGGTTGTAACCTATGTGCTGAGTAGGTTGAACATCCAATAAGTGCTGGGCTTCAGACCTGACATCAGGCCACAGCGCCTGGTGTGAGCTCCAGATTGCACGGGCCTCCGAGTTGCACCAGAGCTTTCTCCACCGCCTCCAAGACTGCCGCAAGGCGCGCACAAAGCGCCCTTGGCGCTTGCGTGGCTTGCGTTTCCTACGCGCAAGCTGTGCAATAGGAGTTTTAGCCCAGTTCTGCTCGAAAGGGATGCTTTGCAGTCCACTCAGGGATCACTCTTCCGAAAAACAGGATGTTGGTAAGAGAGATTCATGCGCTCGTTTTTGCGAGTCGCCCTGCTGTCCTTGGCAATAGTTGCGCCCGCAGGGCGATTGCTTGTGCTTCCAAAAGGGTTGTGGTGTCACAACCAAGCTATTACATAGTCGGTGTGTACCAATGACCTTTCCGGTTTTTTTAAGCGCTTCTGTTTCTTGGGATTGACACGCCCTTTGCCTGCTCCAAGCGACCGCTGGGCATGGCAAGGAGTTCCCGGAGGACGTAAAGGTGGAATTTACGACTCCCACGGAGGAGGTGCACAAGGATTGGCTGCAGCAGGAGGCCCTGATGTCCCAGGCGCTGATGAGACTCTTTTTTTTGTGTGCAAGCAGCGATGACGGGCGATGTGGTAAAGGGGCTCAAAGGTTCCTTGCCTTTCTCCAGTTTGGTCATGAAAAAGCCGCCTTCCTTGCTTCTCTCGTCTGGCTTGGTGGGCTTGAGCCCGCGATCCTGCAAGACGGTTTCCCCAATCTTGTGGGAGGGTAGGATGTCATAAGGCCATAAGGCGATTCCCGTCAGGGCTTGTCTCGGCCAATAAAGTGTTATACTGCTTTCCTGCAGATTCAGATGGAACCCCAACAACTTGGACGGGGGAAAGCTTTAGCCTTGCTGAATTCTGCAACCATGCCAGGCAGGTGCTGAATTTCAGGATGGTGAGCAGGAGCACAACCGCCGGTGGGAGGAGCATCGCCTGAAACTCACAGAGGAGCCGTGGGTCGCCGGGGTGGGGCAGGGGGCTCCCAAAAATGGTTGTCCTTGTGGTATTTGCTTCAAGCCAAGGCGAAAAAGGTACCCTCAAAACCAAACCCACCCACACACTGTTTTCGGCGGAACCCCTGCTGGTTGGTGAAAGAAGAATAGTAGAACCTGACCGGTGCCAGGATAGTCAATTTGCCCCTTTGAAGGACAAGTTTGGCACACCTGCAAGAGGAGTACGCATAGAGTTTGTCCAAGAAGGTAGCCTAAAACAAGGAGGGCCTAGAACAAGGAGGGCCTCAACTGGTGCTGGAAAGGCCATCGCTGTTTGTTCTTGAGATGGGGTAGGCCATGGTGGTGGAAACCTAAAGTCGGCCTTGGTTCATAGGAAGCACCCAGTTTTTACGTCATTCAAACATGTGGGCTTGTCTCAAAGAAGGGGAACGGCTGAACAATTCTGCACCCGAAGTTGTTGACTGCCACTTGTAAGGTCTCTTTTTGTCTAGTGGTTCCCTCGCTAAAAAGAGTGCCCTTAAAACCCATCCAAAACAAATCATTGGTTTCGTCAAGGCTCCCCTGCACACTGTTTTAAACGCCCCCCCTTTTGTTTTTGCAGGAGGCAAACCCCTTCAACCAGCAAAACGGTCGCTCTACAATCTCTGTCGGCTGTGACCTTACCAACGCCTTCGTAGGGTCAAATCTGGCGTGGTTGCCCTGGCCCTGCGCAGGGTCAGTGGTTTGGGGCCAAACCTGGCTGAAGACCCTAAACGAGAACCCTGAAGACTCTAAACCTAAACCCTAAAAACCCTAAGACCCAAAACCTAAATCCTAAACACCCAACACCTAAACCCTAAAAGCCCAAAACCCTTAGCCGAACCCCACCCTGAACCTAAACCCCCAAGAATTTAAACCTAAACCTGCATCGGGTATAGAGCTAAATGTGACACATGGATACTGCGTGGGCCAAGTGCGGAATTGTCAGAGTGGTAGGGTCGTGTGACGCGAAGCGGGCTAGGGTCAAATGCGACGGCCGCGTGGAGTCGCATGCGCCTGCCGCCCCCGTTAGAATTAGCTAGCCAATATACGTGGTTGCACCTCTTTGATTGCCCGTGGAAATCCACGTTTCGTATCACGAGTGATACGGCGTCAGACTCTCAGACGTTTGCTCCGTTAGGAGCGGGACGGGAAGGTGAAGCAGTTGGTGGACCAGGCAGAGAGGTCTCAGAGCAAGGCGGAGAAGCAGCTGCTGCTGCACCAGGCGGGGGAAACCCTCCAGCCAGCTGGCAGCTCTGGCGGTATGGATGCTTCCACCAGGAGTTTGACCCCAACAGATGAAGGTCTTTACCTGGTTTCAGAAGCTTCCGGCTTTCCCTCTAAATTTTAATTCACCATTCAAAGTACACATCTGAGCATACAACTTTAATAGATATAGAATATAGTCATGGTGGAAAATTTGAAGACTCCTGTACTTGGGCTTGGTAGGGATGGTCATTAACCCCGAAGGAATTTTAGAAAGCCATGATAAGGCTCCCCTGTGGCACAAAATTATGTGCAGTCTTCAGACTACCCCCTTTCAGGCTTACAGTCTTCCAAGTTGTTGTTTTATTCCTTGGCGGTCCCCATGCCCTGGCACAATGAGATTCGTTCGGGTTTAGCTTCATGACATATCCCACCAAAGGTTTCACAACCAAAGTCTTGTTTGCTTGCAACAATCCACAGAGTTTCTTGTTTGAGACTCCTAGTATTACCTTTGGGCTTATTTGAGTTGATGGTCCTTGGGATTACTGGTGTTGCTAGAAGAACATCGGGAACTCTTCATGCCCTTCGCATTGACAACTTTGCAAGTATCAAGGGTTGCTATCAAGTTTGACAAGTTTGCTAGATAAACCATACCCCGTGTATAGTATTTCATGGGTGTGTTGTTTGCTGGTAAACCTCCCCCCCAGTCTTGCATAATCCCACATGCGCCGTTTTGTTGGAGTTGGCTGAGACTCACCACGTTACAGATGATTCGCTTGTTCGCCCAACTCTCAAGGTTCCTTCTTTACCCCTGAAAAAGGCTCGAGCCCCAGAAACTACTTTCTATCAAAGGTAGCAGGGCCACATGTATCCAGGGGTAGGGTTCCGTTTCGGGAGAGAAAGCTGGCTTTCACCCACCCCCCAAAAGAAAAACAAGCAACCTGTTGAGGCCAAGCTGTATGGCCAGCGCATCGACGGGCAGCTGGAAAGGGCCTGGGAGGAGCAGCGCAAGGAGCGTGAGCTGCGTTGGGCTCAGCACCAGCACCAAAAGCAGGAGCTGCGGCAGAAGATCAAGGACCTACATCGAATCGGCCGGATCTCCAGTTGTTCCCCCCCAAAACAGCCGCGTGGTGTGTGCCTTCAAGCCTTTAGGGCCCTCCCCCCCCCAACAAAGAAAGAGCAGTTTTTCCCCTGTGTCGCTTTCAGTCCCAAAAAGGGTTCAACCCTGTGTTTTCTTGTGTTGCGGGTTGGGGGGGGGGTAACTACATCGGTTGAACAAAGCAATTCGAATGCCCCAACGCGAGGAGGAGTCCCTGGCGGTGGTCCAGCGCGCGGAGGCGGAGGCCTTTGCCAGCGCCAAGTTTGCGGAGGCGGCGGCCAAGAAGTTGGCGACCCTCGAGGCGGGGTGGAGCTGTGGACCCGGGGGTTTCTCCGGTTTTTGTTGTCCGGGTTTGGGAAATTGCCTTGAGAGGCAAAAATGGAGGTGTGTGTGTGTGTGTGTGTTTTTTGAAGATATCATTTGTTGATCCATTTTGATTGGCAACCAATGTCAAATAGGCCATGGTGTATCTCCCCATTCAAAGACATTGCCAACTCTCTGGCGTCTTTCCTCCGGTTCGCTAGGACGCCTTCCTGCGGAATGCAGAGAAGGCAGCGGCGTTGAATGGCAGCAGTTTGAAGGGAAAGGACCTCGAGAGCTGCTTGCAACAGCTCCGCAGCTCCCGCCGATATTCAGTCTGCCTACTTTTGTTGCAACCTGGGAGCTGCAACGAGCTCACGGTTATGTAGGTCCTATACTTGGGGATCCCTTACTTCAGGTGTTGGAATCAAACAGAAAATCGATTCCAGAGTTGGTTGCAAAGTTGAACGGTCCAAACCAATTGGAAAAAACGGGCAACATAACGTGGGCGGGGCACGGAAGTTGAGCCATTGCGTGTGTGAGTTGGCAGTTGCAAGAGAAACCATCCATATCACACGATCAGTGTAAAGTCAGTGTACAGTCGATCTGGGGAAGACATGAACGGGCAACCTCAAGTGTTCTGCTTCAACACGGGAGTAGCCGAACATGTTTTTGTTGCTGGCAATATTGTGTATTGCTGGGAATATTGCTTGACAAATGAATCATGCAGCGATGCTGGGATGTTTGAAAGTTTGTACTGCAATTCTGTTTAGTCTGAGGTTTTGCCGCGACCTCATATTTTGCAGAGGGAAGTTTCCCTATTTGCATATATGTACACGGTGTGCCCACATATATATATATATATAGGTGTTTCAGATTTACGTATTGTGTTTGTGCATGTATCTATGTTATTTTTATTTGTTTACTTTTTAAACAAAACCTCTATTTGTTTATTGGTTCTTTTCATTTACACGCACGTACTTTCTCAATCGGCAACGGGTTTACAAGGGTACATCTCAGTACCTACTGCCGGGGCACCTGGTTCTGACCGGTTTCTTGCCGCGCCGAGGAAACACGGTGCAGAATGCCGCGGTGTCGTTGTCCTGCTCTAGCCTGCCTTCCGGGGCCACTTGACCTTCGACCTGTTCACCTCTAGATCTGTTGGACTTGTTCCATAGAAGCGAGGCTGCCCGCTTTGGACCGTTGGAAACATGTTTGGCCCCTCTAAAGTGCCAGGTTAGCCCCCCCCCCCAACCACGAACAATCACCTTTCCAGAAGAACAAAGTGGCTGGCCCAAAAGCCTACTGTACCTTGCAGGGCCAAAACATGGTCAAGTATGCAAACAACCACTTGGGTGCCTCAATGGGTGTTGATTTGCAATGCTTCAGACAAACTACTGCATGACTCAATTTAGTTCAGTACGATTCCACATCCCCATTGTGATCAGTTGGCCCCTGGCAGTTGTTTAGTTGCTTTGACTTTAATATCGACTTGTGGTGCTCCTTTTGTCCTCCAAGTCCTCCGGTGCCAAGTCCTCCGGTGCCCCCCTGTTCTGAAGCTCTTTGAACGTCAAAATATGGGCACCCATCTTGTCCGATGGAATGCACAGGTCCTCAGGTTTGTGGACTGCAAGGGCCTACATAAGTCAAGATCACAGCAAAGTGTTGAAATAGTGACTTAGCCCCTCGCACTGTGCATGACACAAATCCTGCAGCAGCTCAAATGGATGACGTGTCTTTTTTGTGGAAGCCCCTCTTGAGGTCGCTTTGAAGGGAAACCAAACAGAAACCGAAGCCCATTTTGGGGGTTTCCGTGAGGCCAAGCAGCTGCCGGCGCGGCACTCTCAGCACACCGGCGTGGGCTTGGCGGTGGACCAGATGGAGGAGTTGCGTTTTGGGGAAGATGTGTCTAAGCATCCCAGCCCTTGGAATCCTTAGCGACTTAGGCAAAACTAAAAGGAGGTGGTTTCAACGGTTTTGTGGTTTAAACAGTTGGTGGGGCCCCGAGTTTTTGCCCCTATTGGCAGGCCGGACCGTGACAGGGTCCGGTCTGTCGATCGGTCGGCGCCGTCAGTCAGTCGGCAAGCCCCACCAACCCAGCCTAGACCAATGGGTCACATGCTGTGCTTGCATTGGCTGGCATTTGTTTCAGCTGTTGTTGCTTTTCTCAGGGCTGCGCAAAACCATACCTAAACCAACCCTAAGCTACAACCAAACCAACCTAACACCAGACCCGAACCCACCCTAAACGCACCCACCCTAAGCCCACCCTAAACCTAAACCCACACTGAACCAGCACTAAACCAGCTCCAAACCGGGCAACCCCTATCCGAAAGCACCCAAAACCAACCCTAAACTAAACCGACTGTACCAACCCTAATCAAACCTTTGCCAACCCTTTAGCTACAACCAACCCTAAACCCACCTTAAACCAGCCCCAACCCTCAACCAACCCTAAACAAGCCCGAAGCAAGACCCTAGGCCAACCCCAAACCAACCCTAGACCAACACAAAGCCGACTCCAAGCCATCCCTAAACCACCCGAACTACCCTAAACCAACCCCAACCCTCGCCTCTAAACCCAGCCTAAACCACAACTAAAGCCACCCCCAACCCGCCCTACAGAAACCTTAAGCCCGTATCACACAAACACACCGAAACCACCCTGAACCAACCTCAGCCCAGACTAAACAACAGCATCCTAGAAAGCCTAAACCTACTCAAGGCTCACCCTGAACCAGTCTGAAGCCCACCCTAACCAACCCCAAACCAGTGAAGACTCCAGAAGAAACATCTAAAAATCAAAACGGATAATGAAGCTAGAAGAGATAGATTGTAGGCAATAGGAAAGTCAATGATAATACTAAATTATAAGATGTCATATTGTTCTCATGGTAACCATAATTTTGGTGATTCCTAAATTGGCACTAAACCACCCCTGTACCCTAAACCAAACCTGAATCCACCCTGAACCCTAAACCTACCGGAAGCCAGCATTAAACCTGCCCTGTACAAACCTTGAGCCAACCTAAACCAACTGCAAACGCAGGCGAAAGAAACCCAGCCGGTGGGCAAACACGATGCCGGGGTTGTTGAAGGTGCTGGAGCAAAACAAGAACATTTCATTAGATACTTTGGTGCCCGCTGAAACTAGGAAAATCGAAGCCTTTCCAGAAAGTTTGGCTCAATCAGCTTGGTGGCTTGAAGATTACAGGGTTAGCCCAACCAGGAGTTGCTGCAGAACCGCGCCCTGTTGCGCACCTTCTTGCGCAAGGAGCGATGCGGAGCGGTCGGCGAAGGCGTTGGTTTGTTCAGTGGGAGGTTTTTGGGCGTGAAGTGACTCCGAGAAAAGCAAAGGGCCCTGAGGAAGTATTCACTGGAAGGTTCTCGGCAAAATTTGGTTGACAACCACAACCCCTTCGAGAGGTGCTTGAAATGGCAAAGAAGGGGCTTGCGAGTCCTACTTGTCCAGTACAAGTTGTCCTTTCCGCATTCCCCCTACAAAGTTCAAACCAAAAAGGGGCGAGTCCTTAAAGAATTCATGAACCGATGTTGAAGAGTTGTTGGCTACGTGGTGGGAAAAAAGAGGAGTCAATGGGCCAGGCCCCCAAGAGGATGGTAACATAATTTCAGCCTCCCCCCCCCAGAAAAAAATGGCATCACAGCTTGGGAAGGTTCCAGCTCACAAAGTAATGCCCTCAAAACTACATTGTAAGAGCGCAAGCGGGATTTGACAACAACAGATGACTTGAGCCGAGAGACCCAAACATGTTCACTTGAAGGAAGTGAGATAAACAATCATGGATCGGCGCACACAGTTTCAAAGTCAATGTTGTTTCTCCCATGATCGCTGGGGGGATGCCCGTGGTAAGCGAACTTCCTTCGGGCGGTAACCATGTTTCTATATCACAAAATCTTTGGGTGTGGTTCGGTCCCTTTCGTTTGCTGGGCTGGCGGGGGGGGGGGGGGGGGGAATCCCCTTAGCGTCGGCGATTTGTCTTTCTCAAGGAGCTGGAGCAACAATCCCTTCAGCAGCTGCGAAGCTGTATGGAGAGGTTTTGCTATGGCGAGAAGGAGGAAATGGACTCCAAGCACGCTGCAGCCATCGCATCGCTGCTGCTAATGCGACAACATAGGAACTTGGCCGATGCGACTTGGCTGCTGGTGGGCCGGAAGGGCCAGGTTGGCTGGGTTCCACCAATGTTTAGGGGGAGCGCAGTGACATGCACAGAGACTGCCATGCCCTACCGAGACAGAGGGGGAAGAGAAAAAGCAGAACTGAAACAAAGAAAGAAAGAGGCTAAAGACCTGCTCCTACCCTGCTTTCCAAAGCACATTCTGATCATTTCTGGTCCAGTTTTGATGCTTGTTGTGCGTGTGATGCTTGTGTATAAAAGGTGTATGTGTTGGTTCTTGCGTGTTTGACACTGCGCATCCTCATTCGGGTCATTTGTTTGCCCACTTGTGGTCCTGCTTATTCTTGCATCCTCCCCAAAGATCGGCTTGAACTTCTTTGCGATGCCATTCGCTCTTCATGGTCTGGGCTTCGTCGTCATCATCATCATCCCCGATATGCAAAGCCTCATCATCGCCACGATGCAATCATCCTGTGCAGAACCGCATATTCATGATCACGCTTGTCACTATTTGCCATCATACTACTCATCATTTCATGTTCAACCCCAGAAAAGACGAGGGCGTGTCAGCAAACAGTCACACGGCCTAGTCTGTAGCCCAGGGTGCTTTGCAGTGCACGTCACAACCAGCACACAGGCACCGATCCTTTCGGGCTCAGGGGCGCGCATGTGAAGTGCCGTCAAAAATACTTTTGTTGAGTTTAGTATTCGGTGTTTCATTGATATCGTGAAAATGCACAAAACCATGCCAAACGATAGGGGACTCTGAAACTAAGTAGCGAAACGGCCGTAAGTAAGTAGTTTCGACCGTGCCTCATGTGTTAAATCGGTGGCTTGGACAGCCACTCACCTTTGCATCTTCAAGCTGAATGTTTGGGGGGTGCTTTGCTTTGTTTAACTTGAAGTTCGGCAAACCACCACTCACGTTTGACCTTCACGGTACTTTCTCACCTAAGATGTCCACGTTTTGCGCAAAGCTCAGGTGATGCGCCGGCAATTCGCAGACTTTCTGCTCGTGCTGCGCCTGTGCTCGCTTGCGGCACAGTGGCTGCTCCCCACAGAGGTCCGGCCGAACTGCGAACACCTCCCGCCCCTGGAGGACCCACAGGACTTGAGAAGGGGGAGTTGGGCACAGTCACAAAGTGTTCCAATAGTTCCCTTCCTTTGAACAGTCACAAACGATCACACATTGCAATTTCCTGTCCATTTGAATGCGGCTTCCTTGCCTTGACGTGTACCGACCTTTGCATATGTGTGACTGGGAATGGTTTGCCATGGCTGAGTTCGAAAGGCACTCCTCATCTTTTGTGAACACGATTGAAAGTGTTCCAACTTGTTGCGCCGCCCTGGTTTCGATGTAGCTCCTTTTTGCTGGAAGTGAGCAGCTCCCCTTTGACACAGACACACACACACACCCACACGCACGCGCGCACGCGCGCACACGCACGCGCACGCGCACGCGCACGCGCACGCGCACGCGCACGCGCACGCGCACGCGCACGCGCACGCTGCGACGCACGCGCGCCAAGACGCTGCCACGCCGCGACGCTGCGACGCTGCCGCTGCTACAGCAAGGCTGCCAGTGCCGTTGCTGGCAGCAACGCACGCGACGCACGCACGCACGCACGTGACGTGACGCACGCGACGACGCGACGCACGCACGCACGCACGCACGCGCACGCGACGCACGCGACGACGCACGATGCCGCAGACAGACGTGACGCACGCACGCACGCGACGCGACAGACGCAGATAAGATAAAAAAGAGATGACAGACGCGACGCACGCACGCACGCGAGACGTGACGCATGACGACGATGACGACGCACGCGCATGATGAGCGCACGCACGCTACGCGCTTGCCGCGCCCGCTTCGCTTCGTGGACTTCGGCTTCGCTTCTCGCTTCGCTTTCGCTTTCGCTTCTCGCTTCGCTTGGCCTTCGCTTCGCTTCGCTTCGCTTTCGCTTCGCTTTCGCTTGCTTCGCTTCGCTTATTATTATTATTATTATTATTATTGCTGCTGCTATTATTATTGCTATTGCTATACATTTTTTCATTATTGCTTATTATTATTATTATTATTATTGGCTATTATTATTATTGTTATTGATTATTGCTATTGTATTATTATTATTCTTATTATTGCTGCTTTCATTGTTGTTGTCATTGCTGTGTCATTATTGCTTATTGTCAGGAGCTTTCGCTTTGCTTATTGCGCCGATTGTTGCTGCTGTCATTATTGCTGCATTATTGGTTATTGCTTTTCGCTATTGTTGGCTGCTGCTTTGGCTGCTGCTGTGTCATTGGCTTGCTTCGCTTTCGCTTGTTTCCGCTTTCGCTTGCTTGTTTACTTTGTCATTATTGTCGCTTTCTTGCTTTTCGTCAGCTGCCTTCGTTTCGCTGTCATTGCTTTATTAGCTTTCGGCTGGCTTATTATTGCTTACGCTGGCTATTATTATATTATTATTATTGTCATTGTCATTATCCATTGTCATTGTCATTATTATTGCTTGTGTCATTATTGCTGGGTTTATTGGGTTTACTATTTATTATTATTTTCGCTTTCACATTATTATTATTATTGCTTATATATGGCTTGGCTTTGTCATTTGGCTTGGCTTCGTCATTTCGCTTCGCTTGGTCATTATATACATATATATATATATATATATAAGATTACAGATTTATTGCATAAGATTAAGCAGACGTCACAAGATCGCGCACGTCAAGACACGCTGCACACGCGCACACGCGCACACGCGACACGCGCAGACACGCCAAGACACGCACAGACACCGTACACGCAAGACATGCGTGACACGTCGCACACGTCGTATTACGCATACGTTAATAACACGCACACACGCGTAATACGCACGCACACACGCGCACACGCGCATTATCGCGCACACGCACACGCACACGCACACGCACACCCAATCACAACACAACACAAAAACACAAACACAAACACAAACACAACACAACACAAACACAAACACACACACAACACACACCCACGCTGCACGTCGCACGCTGCGACACGCGACACGCCACAACGCGCATACACGCTACAAGACGCTGCAGACATCTGCACGCGTGACACGTTGCATAACATAAATATTAAATAATAACATAACATAACATACTATAACATAACATATCATTAATATAACATAACATAACATAATACAATATAACATATAATATAAATATATAATATAATATATATACATAATATAATATAATATAATATAACATAATATAATATAAATATAAATATAACATAACATAATATAATATAATATAATATAAATAATATAATATAATATAAATATAATATTAATATAAATATAAATATAATATAATATAATATAATATAAATATACATAACATAATATTAAATATAATATAATATAACATAATATAATATAATATAATATACATACATAACATAACATAAACATAAATATAAATATAACATAACATAAATACACATACATAACATAATATAATATAACATAAATATAACATAAATATAACATAAATATAACATAATATAATATAATATAATATAATATAATATAAATATAACATAAATATAATATAAATATAAATATATACACATATACAACACATATAATATACAAACACACAGTGCATGTGCGTACGCACACGCACACGCACACGCACACGCACACCCACACACACACAGGCACATACGCACGCACGCAGGCAGGCAGGCAGGCAGGCAGGCAGGCAGGCAGGCACGCACGCACGCACGCGCACGCACGCACGCACGCACTTACACACACACACACACCCACACGCACACGCACACGCACACACACACACCACACACACACACCACACACACACCATGTTGAAGTTTCAGAGGAAACAAACAACAAGGATGGGAGCCTCACACGCCGCCAGGATTGAAGTAGAGTGGACCACCCATGTTTTCAGGTGTCTATCACAAAACAATAATTGGTTTAGTTTATCAAGTGGGTTGCCTTGTGGTGGAGCAATGACAAGGATAAACATTAAAAACTGCATGGTCGCCCTTCAACCGGAACCTGAAGAGGAAACATGCTATCTTCCAAGAGGAACATGTGCTTCAGTCTCTCCGAGTTGTCAGTGGGTTCTTGACGGTTTCAGAAACCACCAAACCGATCCTGAAAATGACATCCAATTGTTGGATCACAGAGGAGGCGCATGACGAGGGCGACGCCTTGTACCAGACCTTGTGCCAAAAGATGCTGCATCGCGCCCTAAGGATCTTGACGGAGCAGCAGCGGGAGGAGTGGATATATTTGTGGAGGGCTGGCTCCAGTGGCGTGATTGTAAACACGATCCTTGTGTGTCCCTTGGCTGGGCTTTCTTGCTGTGATTCCATACAGGGGGTCCTTGTGCTCACCGCTTTAGGCGGTCTCCATGTTTTTACTGAGCCTTATGCGCGCTTCTGGATGGCTTGAGCTTTACCTGTTGGCCCGTTTGGCCTATGTCGATGGAGGTTCCTTTTGGAAGGCTGACCCTTGAAGGGACGCAAAAAAAAGAACCCAGAACCACCATCGCTGTTCCCTTGTCTGCATTTTGGTTGATTGCTGGCTGGCTGGCTGGCTGGCTTGCTTGCGTGCTTGCTTGCTTGCTTGCTTGCTTGCTTGCTTGCTTGCTTGCTTGCTTGCTTGCTTGTGGTTGTTTTGGTGTCTTGTGTTGTTTGTTGATTTGCTTGTTTGTTTGTTTGTTTATGTGTGTATTTGTATACCGTTTGAGTGACACACGCCAATGAGATGAAAAGGGAAGCCAAAGGAGAGGCCATCCATTGTAGGAGGGCAAGCTTGTGCCATACCCTTTCACTGGGGCTTGGATTTTAGAATGGACGGTTTCCTTGTACCGGAACCAAGGCCATGCCCCACTGGAGTTTTGACCGGCACATGTGGTTTTGAACCTATGGTGGGTCAGCATGAGGGACCCCACAATGGCACACTTTTCTGACAATGGCACCATCGAAAAACACCATATATTGATTGTAAGCGCTTCGCGTTGCCCGCCTCGGCCAGTCCGCTGTTGGTTGGATTTGAGGTATACACTGTGTTTTGTTTTGCCTTGAAATTTTGTGTTTGTTGGACTGAGCGAGTCGGCGCCGAAATGCGTGAGCTGGTTTCCAAGGTAGAGGATGGGTGCATGTCTGTGTGTTCTCGGCCAGTCCGCTTTTGGTTGGATTTGAGGTATACACCGTGTTTTGTTTTGCCTTGAAATTTTGTGTTTGTTGGACCGAGTGAGTCGGCGCCGAAATGCGTGAGCTGGTTTCCAAGGTAGACTGTGGGTTTCCACATGGCTTCAAGGGCGAGAACGAGAGCCGCCAGAGAGCTACAGCAATTCCGCAGGTTCTCCATGTTTCCCCGCCTGTTGAAACTCACTTGCAGCATGGGCCAACAAACTGATTGTTCTCCTCTCCGAAAGGGAAATCCATCCGCAGAATTTGGGACGGGGTTGAGGAGCTGCTGAGCCTGAAGCGGGACGCCTCCGCGGAGATCCGCGCCACCCTGCAACAGCTTCCTGGGCGCATGGGTGTCAAAACGTGGGGCCGAATTGTGTTTGTTCTTATTTTGGCAGACTCCTTTCACACCAAAGTGAACAGCGTAGCCTCAAAAAAAATCACCCAAGTCTTCAAGTAGGTGTTTGTGTGCCCGTGGTGTGTTTGTGTTTGTGTTCTTGTTTGCGTTTGTGTGTTTGTGTGAAAAAGCGAGTAAACATCAGGAAGGCCAAATGGAAACCAGAGGATGCCAAATACTGGGTCCAACTTGAGTTGGTTGGTTGGTTGCTTGGTGGGTTGATTGGTTGGTTGACCAGTCTCGGGCTTCGTATTGGCTCTGATTTGGGACTCGCGGCTTTAGGGTTGGGTGTCGCTAAGTGAGTTTTGCGCTGATTTGGGATTGGTTTCGGAGCGTTGCCTCAACTGTTCAAACCCCCGATCTAGCAAAAACCTCACACAACTACAGCCTGAAACAATCTCCCGAAGCCACACCCAAAGCAGCTGCACACCCAGCACACATCAGCTCCCCACCAATAGGTAGAAGAAACAAAATTAATCTACCAGGCAGGAATCCAGGATAGGGACCAGCCTCGACACGGCCTGGATAGTTGGACATAGGCAATTCCCAATCACTCATGGAGGCTGTTGTGCATTTCCGTTCATAGTTTTCGCTAGCTGAGTGCTGAATGACCATGCTGTGTGTGCTCAAGAATTGCACGGCTTAGAGCGAAGTGAGGGCGATTCAATGAGTCAAGCAAGCTCACCGATTTGGGAAGCCGTGAAGGGGACACAGGGGTTGTGAAGCTCCTTCCCTTGGGCCGAGGCTCTGCCAATTGGAGCCAGAGGTCCTGGAAAAGGCGACGCGGCGGGACGTTAAGGAGTTTCAGGTGCAAGTGGCGGCACGGCTTCTGTTTGACTGTGAGCGGCAGATCAAGGAGGAGCACAAGCGACAAGCCAGCAGGGTAAACCAGAATGTGGACTTGCAGATTGCCCGGTACAAGCGGGAGATTCAGGAGGAGGAGCAATCCATCATCCTGGAGCGCCGCAAATGGCTGATGGACAGGATCGTGGCCCAGTTGCCCAGTGCTACCTTTTTTTTTGGGGGGGGGACGGGGGAAGGAAAGGTTTCCCTTTGAGACAGTCAGTTGTTCTTATGTCTTTTTGCGGGGCAGAGGGAGCAGAGGGAGGGGGAGCGTTCCTCCAGATTCTCGTTTTTTCCCGCGTGGGCTGAGGTGGTGCTTCAGAACGGCACCGGCAGCGACAGGGCCCTTGCGCGCCTTCGAGCAGAGCTCCGAGCCTGCGATGCCAAGACCACCCGGGCGCCGGCGCCGGCGGGGGGTTGAAATCACCAGGTGGCCCTCAAAGAATGAACAAGGCTCAAAGGGCACCAAACATACCAAACCTTTCAGAATTGCAGACACCTTTTCTGGACCTGAATCTCAAAACTGCCGCAGGCTCCGCAGACTCCACGTCGGCATGAGCTGCGGGAGTCGGTGGAAGTGTGGCCACTGAGATCCGAGAAGTTGGAGCCGCTGGGCTCCCCGTTGCTGGCGCCGGGCAAAGCTCGGCCCCGCACCAAGCTGCCGCCAGTGCCGCTCACAGCCAGGTGAGCGGCAAGCAGCAGAGCAGTTCTCATGCGCGAATGCAGCTGAAGGGAAGAGGTTTCATCAACCTTGTGCATGATTTATGCGATGTGAAATGGCGCGTGAGTGTGCCAGTGGCTTGCTGGCTACCTGGCTAGTGATCCTTCGTGGGCTGGCAGCATAAAGAAGATGGGGGTGGTGTGTTGCATCATGCGCACTGGAAAAAAAGCAACATGGGAGCACCCGCCTCTTTGATGTTTTTCAAGAGGGTGCCCGTTCCCCACATGGTTTCTGAGCAGCGCAGCTTAGGCGACTCCTACATTGTGTTGAAGGACGTGCGCCTGCGCTGCACCCTCTCCCCGCAAGACTCTGCGAACCTGCCTGCGAGGAAGCCTGGAGCTCAGCTCATATGGGGTGTGTTTTGCGAGGGTACCTAACGGCAAGCATTCTAGGGGTCGCACTTTCACGCATGCCCCAATGTGGCTCAAGAAAGAAAAGGGCTACTGCTTTACTTCCTGACGAACTCACACAACTGTCCCATGGCTTCCCTTGTTGGCTTTTAATTTACTTGGGATCATTCCATGATGCCTTCAGAAACGCACCGGCATTTGGCTGCCTTTTCCTTGGGGGGCATTGTTGTCTAGGCGTTGTTGTGTGTTTTTTTTTGGGGGGCTTGCTAGTTATTTGCTCCTTTGCCCCGCAGTGCAATTCTGCGTGGGGTCTAACCGGGGTGGCGTTGCTGTGACACATTCGCTGCAGAGCCAGCGATGCCTGTCAGCCACTGATCCGAACATCCTAGGGCTGCGCAAAGAGGCACTGGAGGGAGGGAGAGAGAGATGCATCACAGGCTTGCCGTCCTGGATTACTACGCACATGTCTTGCTGGAGCCCAGCCCTTAGTTGTGGGAAGGCGCACTCGGGCGCGCAAAGGCGCGCTGGGAGCCCAAGGTTGGTGCTCAGCCAAACTTGTTGGTATATTGTTTTGTCCGATCCCCTTCCAATATAATGTTCAAGGCGCAATGTGGGCGAACGTGGGTGCCATGGGAGCATGTTTGCTGGCTGAGTTAGACATTGCGTCTTGCATGGTGGCCCCCAAATGGATAGCTTCATGCGGTGTTGCTGCGAACTGATGGTGGACAAGGTAGGATTCCTAGGCTGAAGGTTGAAGCGTCACGTCAAAAGTCTGGGCTGTTCACAGGAAAGTGTGCCCAAACCCACCATTGGATTACATTACATATTGTTGGGTCCTGTTTGCTGTGTGTGTGTGTGTTGTTTTGGAAGCAGCAATTCCGCGTTCTCGCGTGGACACTGAGAGTTGAAAGAAGACACTTGCGAAATCGACCCTGCACGTCCAACAGGGTTTGCTTCTTTTGAACGATACCCTTTTTCCAGTGGTTCAAGGGGACAAACTTTCGTTTTTTTGCACATATCCACCAATCCAGCATGCCCCGCTCCAGGGTGTCGCGGCCAGCGCCTCCAAACGACACACTTTCGCTGAGGTACAGCGACAAGGCCGCGAACCTAAGTGGGGTGAACTTCCAAGTCGTGTGTTCTCGAATGTTTTAAGCCACCAAAAGGGTATCCTCGAGTAAGACACGCCCCTTTCCAAGAACTGGCGAATGAACTGGAGATCATTGTTAGGGCCGCCCCATTTGGGAGATACACGCACGTGTTTGTCAGAGAGTCCTGGGCCAAGAGTGCTCCTCTTTGGGACCTGCGGGATAGCTCTTGAGAGAGGGAGGGAGAGAGAGGAGTTGGTGAGGGTAGCATGGCTCAGGGAGTTTGAGGGGAAAGGGAAACTGCAAAAATAGTTGTTGATTTGGAGACGGAACCGAAGGGAAAATCCAGACTGAAAGGGAACCAACTATCTGAAGGGTGGCTAGGTTTGTTGCAGACGCACCTGCATGCCGACCTGTTTCCGATCCACATTCTGTCCTGTTTTCTTTATCTTTGGGTCTTCGGGTTGCCCGTCATGCTCCCTTTGGCCAGCCAATCAGGGTTACAGTTGCTACAACGGCGGGATCAAGCCCGGCGTGGTTTAAAAACGACTCAAAGCTGCTTGCTCGGAAAGGCAATTCGAGAAAAATCGCAAAGGACCTGTGTCTTTTGAGATCGAAACTGAGGGAACCTGTCATGATGACTCTGCCTGTATGTGTTTCACATGTCTGCAAAGAACTTGCAGGCATGTCATACAGATCTTCTGAACTCGCAGATGCTGTATGATCAGTCGTGTTCTTGCGTTTGTTTGTTCACGGCCGGACGAGTAAACAGAGCGGCCACGGCACGTTTGTTGGAGAGCAAAAGGCAAAGAGAACTGCGCCAGTTGGGCCAACCAGCCTGGGAGGCCGATGACCGGGTCATGTTGCTGTAAGGGCGAGCAAGCTCCGACTCCTGCATTGAATTGGGAGCCGGCGGGAAGCGTGCCAATTTTGTGGCGCTCACCTGGGTGCAAGCATGCTCATCATGACAAGGGGTTTTGGGAGATCCCTTGTTTCTGGTCTTCAGTTTGGTTCTAATCATTCGCCTGTGCCATTGTTTTTGGAAAGGACACCTCTAGGCATCCCCTTCTGCAATTTGACACGGAAGGCCGTTTTAGAGGAATCTGGATTGGAATGTCCTCATTTCGTGTTTCAGAAAAATTGGTGGAAGACCAACCTCGCCAACCAAGCAAGCCTCGGCTCGAGCGGGCTTGTGTGGCAGGAGCTCAAAGAGACGATCCGCGTGGCAGAGAAAGGCGGGGAATCTGAAAATTCCTGTCTGGATTGGTTTCTGGCTTTGAATTACCAAGGCAGGAGTGCGCTTCCCACTTGTTTTCCTTTGAGCAGGCATGTGGTTGATATTGATTTGGAGAGTCGCTTCCCCCCAGGAAGGATCTTCCGCAAAGCCCAGGAATGACGTCATTCATGCTGCCTTTTGATCCAGGAACTGGCCAAAATGCCCCCTAGTTTTCCTGTTTGTAATGTCAACTTCCGCCCTATCCGGATGGCCTGACTGATCAGATTCGTACTCAAAGTTTTGCGACACGCCCATTTTGCATAGCCCACCTATTCCCAGGTGACGAGAAGATTGGCAACTCTGAGCGCGTGATTGAGAAGTGGGGCATGTATAAGGACCGCTCCGAGCCATCCGGGCGAAGAACGAACTTGTCAGGGTAAAATGAGCTCACCCATGATGAAGGGCGGCTCCCTCATTTCCAGCTTGGGGAAATACGGGGTTAACATTCAGAGTCCATTGCACGATTTAATTCTAGGTTCCATCTATTTGATGTGTTGCTGTTGCGCAAACAACGCATTCCAATTTTCCAATGACATAATGACTGCAGGAATCAAAGCTTACCGCAGCTCAGGTCATTCCGCTGATCTCTATTGATCCGTTGCACTGCCAGCTACCAGAAACTTCGCAGCCCGAATCCGCAAATATAAAGGGACCTTAACGCTAGCGAACTTCATCTTAAGGGGTCCTGCCTGAGAGAGGGTTGTGTGATGTATTGAGCCGTCCCAACGTATCGGGGTTGCCGCACCCTTGCAATGCACGTCGCCCATGGTGGGCTCTGCACCTGCGCGGGTGGGCAAAGATCGGACTCCCCCGCCACAATGGCTTTCTCGTGTGCGTATGATTCTCTGTGTGTATGTGTGTTTATTTACCTTTGTGCCTGCGTGTCTGTGTGCACGTGAGCGCTCACGTGTATTGTGTTGTGTTGTGCTGTGCGTTTTGTGTGTGTGTGTGTGGGAGTGGTCCCCGATATCGCCAGGAAGCCCAGCTTCACGGAGAGATCGACCTCAAGAAGCACGTGAGCGGCCTGGTGCTGAACGAGCGCCACAGGACCTGGCACGAAATGGCTGCTGAGGGAGGGAATCAGCCTGAAACACACGGACGACTATTCCAACCAGACATCACTCACTGCGAAAGAAAGCTTACTTAAAAAACATGGCAATGAAGAGGTAGTGTTTAAAGGCGCCCAAAGCGGGAAATAGAGGGAAACCTGTGCTTAGACCTATCCTGTTGCTGCAACACTGTTGCCAAAAAGCGGGTCCAGTTTGATGTTTCGCAAATATCTGGGTTGAACATGGTTGGTTTCTATGTGGTTTCTCTATGAGCACCAACCCATACCCAGTCGTGCAACCAAGAAACGGGTTTTCTTTCCTACCAAGAAGAAGCACTGGGCAAGCAAGACGCAGGTTCAATCACCTAGCCATAGGCAGAAGAGGAGCCGAACCGCCATCACAGCAATAGAGGTATTTGTGGTGTAGGCTGTTTAGTCTTGCGGGGGGTCTGACACAACTGCTACAAGTTGAGCACTGCATCCTTGCTTAGGCAAGCAAGGGTTTCTCGGGGTTGACCCGGGCTTACGCTTCCCATTCAAGTTTTCGGTATGCCTTGACTCTTCACGCGCGTGTGTTGCCGTGCAGGAAAGACAAGGCTTGGATAGAGAAGCTGTGCAAGCAAAATGGATGGAAGCTGACCTGGATGGATGCCGCTCGGAGGAAGAAGTAGTAGTTGGAAGGCACTTGGTTTGTAGTTGTTTTCAAGCAGCGTCGACTCTTGTAGTCCTCAGGAAGGTGTGAGGAATTCCGGATTCTACATGCAATGCGTGTGAGCAAATGATTGCGAGAATGGGAAATCACAGTTTTTGCTCTTCCCGCTACACAATCTGAAGCCTAGCCGACCTTCAAGCGGCTCCCTGCTTTTCAGGCCGGTGAGTGAGTACGCAACTGCCCAGTGGCCAAGCAAACATTCCAGGATGTTTCAAATCGGCCTGGCAGATGATGGAAGCCATCTCGGACTGTCAACATCGAGCTAGCAGGAGTTTTCTAAGCTTTAGCTTCTCGAGGCTGAGCCTCCCACAATGCCTGACTGAATCAGGGTTGGGCGGGGAGAGTTGGAAATACAGATCTTTGCTCTTCAACCCGTTGCTCTTCTCGCTGCTCTCGTCTTTCTTCTCTCCTTCTGCTGTCCCTTTTCTTCACGCCTTTCCCCGACCCGGTTTCAGGCTCTTCTCACCGCTCTTCTCGCCGCTCTTCTGACCGCTCTTCTCTTTGCCTTGCTCGCTCTCATCCTCAGATTTCGCTTCTCTCTGCTTTCTTTCCCCTTTGCCTCCCATCTCTTCTCCTCGCTTTTCTCGCTCATGCGCCTCAATTTGCCAATTGATCAATTGCGCAGAAGTGCGCATCTAGTATTGCTTCGGCGTCGCTAGCTTGTGTCCACAAGCTCTCACATTCCTCCCAATGCCAACTGCCAAGCGTTTCAGGAAATCAAACAAATGTTCAAGAAAGGAGGTGACAAAGCAACAGTTGAACCTTCATTCCTTGGGATGCTTGTTCATTGCCTCCCTGAGCATGGCTCAGTTCAATCGCCGAGGAAATGCATACGGAGCTAGCAGAGAGACAGGGCGGCAAGGAGATGGATGTGAAGCAGTGGAAGCTTGGAGAACAAAGCGGAATGAACACTGGGGGCAAAAATACCCTGCAAAACAGAGAGCGGACACCTAAAAAGTCCCATGTTTGTTTTTGGGAGAGTGCTCCAATTCACTACACGGGAAAGGCTACCTGGAAGGCCGGAAGAAAGTTGGAGCGTTTGCCACAGCAAAACATGGCACACTTGGAAAGAGGGTTTGTGCACCGGTACTAGTGGATGCCATGCCTTTGGCCCAGGAATGAGAAGCTGCGGATGCTGGGCCGTGCCAGTGCGCAAGGGGGGAAGGGGTATTGGGGTGGGACTTGCAGCCGTCGGTTGGCCAAGCCAGCTCTTCTTTTGGCACTTCTTTTGCAACGCAGAACAGGGTCATCAAGAGAGGCTAGCTGTTTTCAGAAAAGCCACCAGTCGCCCTTGTTTGCTTGCCATGGCTGCGCAACGGCGAACAGAACACATCGAGTTGAGGGGCACTTGGCGGTGCAGGGTCCGTCACAACAGGAACCAATGGTGAACCACATATGGGTGTGTCTTTATAAAGTGACATTTGACGCTTCACACGGATTGGAGCGGAAATTGATATATCGGGCAAACGCTGAGGTCACCTCGTTTGGACGACTGAAGCACCGTTTTTCGGCACCGCCGCTTCCGCTCGGCTCTAGGTCCCGTTGCTCCGGTGCCGCCCCGCCGGAGGGGCAGCGCCCAAAAGTAAGCGCCCAGGTTGCAGCCTTGGCAAACCCACATTCAAGCCGCCTAAACCCCACATGTCTTATCAATTTGGTCGCCTTAGTTTGAAGTTGTGCAAAAGCAGTGTTCATTTCCAGCTCAACCCCAGAGGGTTGCGGCCCCAAGCACATCTTCGCGGTTTGCGCCATGGTGCTATGCCGGGCCGGTAGCTCATTGAGGCTCCGAGCCCCAGACTGGGGGCCGGTGGCCAAATGAGCGTCCAAGAGCCATTGACTGTTGGGTTGATGTTGATGCGATTTATTTTATATTTGTTGGGCTCGCATCGATTTTGATTGGAATGGGCAAACCAGGGTAGGTGGATGGTGAAGCAGAGAATCAAGCGGTTTGAACATACAAACTAGAGGTTTTTCTAAACACAGCAAGATCCAGCGCCGGGCTTGGCTTTTGGAGCCTTAGACTAGAGGGCAAGGTGCAGAAAGTGTAAGGAGCTTCAGGCAGGTCCTTGACTGCGAGATCGAATGATTCTAGGCACATCAAACCGCAACCCCGCAAATGAGAAATGAAGTTGGTGCGGCCGCTTGTAGGGGCCCAAGTTGCCAAGGCTTCTTGCAAAGGAAGTACATGAAGTTATATTGATTTCTTATTACATGAAGTTTGGACGAATGGTGCAAGTAATGTAAACCCCGTATTAGTCTGTCCCCCCCCCCGCTTGAAGGTCAGAAGGTTTTGGTGGCGCGAGATGTTTGAAGGTTTTTTGCCTCTCCCCCCTAGATAATCTGGAATTGAGTGTCCATTTCATTTACTGTAGTATTGCTGGAGCTTCCTTTTGAGACCTGGAATTGAGTTTCCATTTGATTTAGTATTGCTGGAGCTTCCTTTTGAGATCTGGAATTGGGCTTCCATTTCATTTAGTATTATTGCTTTGATTTAGTATTGCTGGAGCTTCCTTTTGGGATCTGGAATTGAGTTTCCATTTGAGCCTATTGGATGAGGAGGGAAGGCGAGAAGCATATGTGCAGAGTACATGCTATGAATTGCCAGCATGTGAGTTGTGAATATGGATGACATTCTCAGCAATTTCTAAGAAATGAGCTCAAAAAGCAGTGGAGAAAATGAGATAGCATAGCAGCAGCCATTTGGGGGAGGGACCGGTTTAATTTGCTTTTTTAGATCAATTCTTCTGTGGGGGGTAATTTCTGAGTTATGAACTGTTTTAGTATTGGGGGGGTGTCACCCGGACCGGACTAATATGGGGGGATTTCAAATACAAGGCTAACATTATGTGAGTTATTTTATGTGTGGGCAATCGAACAATATAATGATTCTCAGTGTGCATGGTTGTTGTTGATGCTTTATGTCTGATTAAATTATACAAGCAAGCTTGATCTGTACTTTTTACCCAACAATCAACAGCGCTTAGTTCTCATTCGCAGATCCATCAACTTCTCAGAGTCACCTGCGGTTTGGCTCCAGCTTATCCACCTCATCGCTGAAGAAAACGAAAACGATGTGCGGATGCAGGTGGGACCCAAGAAGCCTTCATTTGTTGAATATCCTTTCCCAAAAGGCCCACCCCTGTTGATGGAGAGCGTCACTTTATAGGCTTCATGTTTGACACGGATGCAGGGTTTTGCACCTGAGAAATGTGCTTGCCCATGTGGTAGATCACAAGACGGGGGAGGGATCCCTTGTTATTGCTTTACATAATCGTAGGAATATCAGCCATGTGCCACGCGACCCTCGCTTGCCCTCAGATCATTAACTACCCCTGTTCAGTTGGAGCATTTCGCTTATGGTTAGTCATTAGTCATCCATGTGAATTGCGGGCTTGACTTGAATGTTTTATCAGACCTGCTTTTCCGCGCTGCAAAAAGAATCTCTGCCACTCAGATCCTTGCGGCGGGCCTCGTTTGCGACGTCTGTGCCACCTGGCAGAAGTCGCTTCGCCGCTCCCCAGGGGTCAACCTGGAAGAAGTGATCAGGTTAAGAGGTGAGAGTGTGCCTGAAAACACGGAGAACGCCAAATGGGTTGTTTTACTGTTGCTTTTGCTTGAATACAACCCTCAAGGGGTTCCCTTCAAAACGAGATTCCCATTGCAAGCACTCAACTTGGATGCTTAACCCATTCATGTCTGTTGCGACCCAGGTTAAAAGTGGAGCAACAGTGTTGACTCTCAAAGGTTCAACAAGTTAAGAGCGTGTGAGATTCAATTTGTGTGCTGGAGGCACGGAAGATGAATATGTGAATATACGCCCAGGCGGTGGCACGTGAGTGAAAGTTGCGAAAGAACGAGCAAACTGTGCTATAGCCTTATGAGGCAACCACGGTCCTTGTTTCCTGAAACAAGGGAAACGGCTGTTGGGGGGGGGTGCTGGGAAAATCCATGTTAGTGTGACAATCTCATGGCTGTTGAGGTCATAATGTGGGGTGTTTGCCTTGTGCCGGTACTGGCATAGAACCCCCCAAGGCTGCCGAAATACGCACAAAAGTAGCAACGGCCAGCCAAAATGGAGCCAACCGAGACCGCTTGCTGTTCGGGCGTGCTGGCCTTTATACGAGCCTGTGCAGGTTCCATGCTTGCAAAATCACCTGCTTGCATTCTGTTCTATATTACTGACAGCTGTCTTAGCCTTCATGTTGCCTCGCAGCTCCATGAATAGGCCGCTTTCTTGTTTGCCACTCGTTTCCACGATTGCCAAAAGTGAAAATTGTGGTAATATCTTGCACGAATTCACTTGGTTGCTCTTGTGAAATTGATGACAGAAAATCTGGGAGTCCTAGGTTTCGGCCGGGACTTTGACCAGGTTTGGGTGGGCCTGAATCCGCCACGAAATGAGGAAAGGATTCACACGAAAAGAGCTGAATGTGCGCAAGCACCGTATGGCAGCAGAACAGCAACAACTGCTATTCTGACGCAGTTACCTTTTTGGCCCTGCGATTCCTTCTGCCTTTGTTAAGAGGGCGTGTTGAGGAACCTTCGCTACGCATAGCCGCCCAGTGCATCATTTGCAGGCTGGCCTTTGGCTCTTTGCTATGCCTTGCCGGGCCCTGAGAGTGGGCCGAGACTGCACAGGAATTCAAAAGTGGGCCGCGTTGGGACCACTGGAACGGTGCCTGAGCAAGCCAGTTGATGTTGAGGGAATTGCACATTCTCGAGACATCCCGCCCACTTGGCTTGCACAAGGTGCACTGGCACGACAGACAAGGCAGGGGGCGTGCTGGAATTGCACTTCAGTCGATCGAAGGCTTTTGCCTTTTTGGAAAGACTCGCTCCAGGGAACCTCCAGGAAATTGGCTAGGGGAAATGACCAGTCCCTTGCATGTAACAAGGTCAACCACGGTCGGGCCTAACCCAAAAGACGAACCTCCCTTCTCCGTATCACAGAAGTGGGGGACAAACGCTGAGTGATCCCACAACCCAGGACTTCTATGTTTTTGTTCATTCCTAGGCATATGGAGACTGCCGTGCCTGATGACCAGACTTAGACCCCTGCAATAGTTCAACTTCGATCTTCGCCCTTTGAAGCGCATTGGACGTCCATGCATTGAAAGGTTGCAAGGTGCAAAGCCTGGCACTTGCCGTCATACAGCATCGCATGCTCATTGCACCGGGCATATCCTGCCAAAACGTGCAGCACGCAAGGCCCTTTGCCAAATTAGCTAAATGATTCAAGAACTTTCTGGCATGCTTGAAAAGCTGTATGTTAAACACGTCAAGACCCTTTGCCGACAATTGCCGTTTTTTGAGGATTCTTTCCAAAAGCAGCTTCTCTACCAACTGTCCTTCTCGAGCTCGAAACCACACGTGGCCAAGCCGGATAATCCAATATGTCGGGCAAGTCGGTTTCTTGCACATCAAAACCATCCGTCCCTTATTCTAAAGGCAACAGCCAGTGTTTTTGGAGCTCCCGAAATTTCATGTGTGTCCCACCATTGTGAGAGAGAGAGAGAGAGACCCATCTCCCCATGCCCATCCCTTTCCAGGCGATGGCGATCTCGCAGCACGTCGATTGCAAGACTTGCACCCCACGGGGCTTGTGGCGCCGTGGAATCCACGAGGTTTCGTTGCCTTTGCTATGTCCCTTTGGACAAAAGCAAGAGCCTCAATCACCGTCCCTGTTGGTTGTTGGCTGCAAATTTGGGGGCAAGGCTTCTATGCCACCCCTCCTGACGGCTTCTGCTAAAGTCATATGTTCTAACAATCTTTCGGAATATTTTGTGGAGCGTTCGTGTGAGCAACCCCGCATTCCATTTTAGGAGCTGGTTCTACTACCTGCTTTAATAGTCATGTGGCAGAGCCAACAGTCAATGGGTTTTGGGCGCTGCTCATATGACCTCTGGTTTGCCAACCGTCGCGCCATGAATCCGGTTTTCCTCGGGGCTTTGTCCAGCACCGGACGCCAACTAGTTAAGGGGCGTTCCAGAACAAGTTCAGTAATGGGAACCTGCGATCAATAAATCCCTGGTTGATTCATAGGGGGTGTCCCTTCGAAACGTGAATCTTTCAGTTTTGGGGGAACACATTCCCATTCGGCCCACAAGGTGATTAGGTGGGGGTGGCATCAATTCCAACATACATGTTGGAATTTATGTATGGTGCAATTGAATGTTTACTTTTGCGCTCAGGAATCGACCGCTCTGTGGTTACGTTGTTTTATGTGGCATGTTGTTTACTCGTTGATTCATTCGGTTAGTTCATTCAGTCCTTCTTCTCTCACATGCATACATAAGTGTGTGTTTGCGTGTGTGTGTGTGTGTGGGTGGGTGTGTGTGTGTGTCATACCTTGTTTTGCTTGTCATTTGTGTTATGTACTTTTGGTTCGAACCGGAAAACATGCCATTTCTCCTTACAGGGGAGAAGGCTGCATTTGTGACCGGCCAGGTACCCACCAGACATGCTTCTCACCAAGCCCTACGGCGAAGATCCCAATCGATGGCTGGTCTTCATACACGCCGGAGAACTCAGCTCGCGTCAGCAGCTTTCTTCCCGCGGGGGATAAAACTGCTTGCTTGTCTCTTCGGTGTTTTTACCCAACGGAATCCCTTTCGTTGACTTATTTATTGTGCTTATGTATTGTGCCGATGCGTGTCGTTTTGTTTGCGCAATCTGGTCTACAGACGCAGTTGTGCATGGCCAATCCCAGTAGCCCGCGCAGCCCCCACAGCCAGCTGCAGCTTGTCCATACCTTCGAGCAGTTCAAGACTGTGAGAAGGGCGTGAACATAGTATTTCTTCCTTCGTCTCTCAAAACATGATTTGAACTGATCACTATGGGAACCTGCAAGATATCAATAACGATAGTAATAGCCTTATTAGCAGTAGTAGTTGTACATAAACTAGGTGCTTTGTGATATGAATGGCATAGATACTCGCCGCCTGTGTCAGCCAGACTATTGAAAACATCAAGTCAATGCTGCAGTTGCTGAGCCTGTCCTGCATGGGCTGACCATCAGAACATTTCTACGGCCACCCGCTAAGCGAAACCCGATGAAACCCCTGAAATTGCCCCAGACGAGGTGCTATCGGGGCCTCTTGTGAGATGTGTTTGGGGGGTTCGTTTCAGGACGTGGTCGACAACGTTTAGCTTTCGGGGTCATTAGTCCTTGAATTGGGCATTACACACCAGACAGCCAGAAAGACTTTGTTTGCAGCTCCGCCCTCTTCAGCATGTGTATGAGCGGTGAGCATCCGGATCTTGACATTTTCAGGGCTGAGCAGCAGCCCAAGTCTATTTGCCAACGAGTAATTAGTTGGGCTGGATTTGAGTCGGTACGTGTTTACTGGTCCATGCCAAGCAGAACACAAAGTCACTTCATCCCAGACCCGAATTCCAATCACAGTGTCATGCCGGAGGTTCAGCATCAGGGGTCCCTCGGTTTCTGTCAGGTCATACTTATTAGCTACCTGCTCCTGGCGCTCAACACAGTTTGCGATGCACCCTGGCAAGGGGTGCGGGTTTAAGATTAGCCCCACACCACCCCCTGAGGATCGATATCTGCTTGTTGCAATTGAACTCATTGAACCCGCTAACAAGAACCATCCAAAGCGGGTCCTGGTGTTTTGGAAACGGGCACATGCCATCTCGTTCGCGGGTTGGATGCAGCCAGAGTGTCCACGAAGCGAGAGGTTTGCTTGGCAGTGGTTGGTGCTTCCAAAAGAGGGGAGTGTTGGTCCCTTAAATCAGTGGTTTGCTGTTGGAGTTTCTTCGAAACAAGCCTTGAAGCTGGCGCGGGCTTGTACATGCACCCATTGCTATGTTTGGCCCTGCTCGGGCTTGGTTGGTGCTTGTTTCTCAATCTGAAAGGTGAATGAATTCAAGAACTAGGGGTAGCTAGGAGTCATAGCTTCGGTTGCTCAGGCTTCACAAGGCTCCATAGCGCAGGTTCGCAGCTACCTTGTTTTCTCATGCAAGACTTGATCATCGCCAGTTTCCATGGATCTTGCAGCTGAGGTGTACTTCACTGGGGCGATAGAGGCTCGCAGCGGCAGAAAATCCTTCCGGGGGCTAAAGGAGGTGCCCCGCAGAATGTAAAATTAGTAAATGTGTCGATTGTTCTTATCTGCACACAACATATGCATATACATTATTGCACATACTTAAATAGTCGTATATAGCTATAGTATTTATAAGAGTACCCGACAATATTTTTTGAATGACTGCGGTTGTATTCGGCGCGACATCGCTTAGCTTATAATCTCCAAACCCTATCAAGAACCCTGGGGGCCTGCCCAAGACCGATGCCCCTGT